AGAAGTGTCCTACAAGACTGTCCCACAACAGTATCCCGTAAGAATTCACGAGAAGAGTGTCCTACAAGAGTGTCCCGCAAGAGTGTCCCGCAAGATTGTCCCACAAGAGTCCCACAAGAGTGCCCTACCAGAGTGTCCCACGAGAGTGTCCCACGAGAGTGTCCTACAAGAGTGTCCTGCAAGAGTGCCCCACAAGAGTTTTCCGCAAGAGTGCCCCACTAAAATTTCCGACAAGAGTGTCCTACAAGAGTGCCCCACAAGAGTGTCCCACAAGAGTGTCCTACAAGAGTGGCAAGAGTGTCCCACAAGAGTGATCTATGCGAGTCTCCCGCAAGAGTGTCCTACAAGAGTGTACCACGAGAGTGTTCCACAAGAGTGTCCGACAAGAGTGTTGGATAAAAGTGTCGTACAAGGGTGCCCCACAAGAGTGTCCGACAAGAGTGAGTGTCATACAAGGTGTCCCACAAGAGTGCGCAAGACTGTCCAGCAAAGGTTTCTGAAAAGAATGCGTCCTACAAGAGTGCCCCACAAGAGTGTTTCCTACAAGAGTGTCAAACATTGTTTGGGTGTTTGTTTTCGAGCACGTGTTTGCATTCGGGTTCGTGGCTTCCATCTTGTGCTTTTTTGTTTCTTTTGTTTGTGATGGAGGTAACACAAAGCTTCCGCAACTGCTCGCGCCAACCTTCCGCCATGTGAAAGGAAGCTTCCGCGCGCCACTTTTTAGGGGAGGCATCCGCTGAGCATACGCCGCATTAGTTACATACTGAGTGTTTATTTCAGGTTTGCTTCCACGCGCAGGGTCTTGGTGCAATGATGACAACGATAATTATAGTAGGAGCTAGATTTCTTGGAGTTGTCACTTCTAAGGTATCTCCTGGTGGCTATATCTGGCTAAGAATAGGTAACCACACATTGGGAATTGGGAACTCCCGCGAGCCTTCCACACGGCTTCTGCGAAATCGGCAGCTGTTTTTGCAAGTTTTATATAGTTGCAAAAATCGTATTATGCCCTTGTGCGCAAAAGGGTCATCTGCACAGCTTTGGCAGCTTCTGCAACTGCAAAGTGGTGGCAAACTAGACGACGGGTGGCCCGAGAGCGAGACATGTGATTGTCCAGCACTGTGGAAAAGATATCTAGAAAGAGAGTTAAAGAAAGGATGGACGTGAAGGAGTGACAGTGTGGATGTGCAGGTGCGATACAGATGTGTAGATGTATGGAGGTGGAGAGGTAGATCTGTGGTTGCGAGCCTGTGAAGATGTAAATGGACAGAGGCGAGAGAAAAGATATGTCTTAGGTTCGTAAGAAGTCAGTCGCACTTCAAACGGTTCAAAACAAGTCAGTCTCATTTCAAGACAAAAACGAAATAAACCGTAAGCAGGTCGAAGCACACACAAAATGGATTTGTGTGCGCTTCATCCTGGTCCCAAAAACAAGCGGCGAGCAGATATCCTGCGAGCAGAGGCTCAAAGCAAATCAGTCTGACTTCAAGTATCAGACAAACAGAAAGTGCGCAGTAAGTGCGCTTCAATTCATCAGCTCCACTCTCGCGGACAGGCCCTTGAAAGCACCAACACTGCGACCTGAGAGCAAACGACGTTACGATCAGGACAAGTGACTCGTGCGTTCCAACTGCGCATCGTTTGTCATGCAAGTGAAGTAGACACATATTAACGTCACGTCCCTTTTTGCGGCAGCCGCGGATCCCGTCGTTTGAGCGATGATGTCGTAGTTTCATGTAGTTTCGTCCCGAACAGTCTCGACGGACGACCCGCGACGTGAACTAGTCTCGGTGTGTTGTGCTGAAGTCTCTCTGCCATTCCGCGCGCAACCCTTCCAGGTCTTTTTTGAAGCAGCAACTGCGCGGCTTCCAATGCGGAGTGCTCGTAAGCGACGACGAGCCAAGCGCATAAAATCCCCGCGCTCCGATTGATGCCACCAAAGCAGTGAAAGAGCACGTGCGTGGATTTGTCCCCGGCCACCGCCAGCATGGACTGTTCCCACAACTGGTTGCAGACGATTTCCCACTGTCAAACAGGAAGCCACCAAGTCCGGAATCTGCTCAAGCCAACGCCTTGCCGGCTTCAACGTCGTGTCCTCCAAGTGACACTGGATGTGAAAGACATCTTCAATTGCTCCACAGAACACCGTGAAAGAACCCCTCGAATGCGAGACAGGTGATTTTCGAGCAATTCCGAGTAAGCCGATAGTTCAAATTGACGTCCCAGAGCCATGATCTCTGGGTGCAATTTAAATTATTCACAAAAAAGACGTGTACAAAGAAAGAAGGAGAGGGCGGATGTGAAGGAGTGACTATGTGGATGCGCAGGTGTGATATAGCTACGCCGATGTGTGGGTGTGTGGGGGTAGAGAGGTAGATCATGGTAGATCTGCGGCGTTTCGTACGAGAATTCCTCCACAAATGAAGCACCAAGTCTCCAAAACCACCGTTTCCTACGAGATTTATCCCCGTCTACATTAGGGGGGAGGGGTTGACAACCGCAGTTTTGTAAGGGACCTAGGGTTACAGTCTACAAAAAGCCCTGACCCAAGGGCATTGGGCTTATACAAAATGGCATGGGCCAGAGTGGGCTTGTACAAAAAGGTTATGCCTGAAGATCACTATCTTATGCTGAAAAGTGCATAAAACAGCCATTCAGCAAAGTGATTTCTCTACAAAATGGTATCAAATACCTGGTCGAGGACATGATTTAAGACTCCATTTGTTGACCATTCCGGAACCGTTCTGTAGAGAAACTGTGTGCGCACGCATCTGACTGTTCTTTTTTAATCCAAACTTGGCGATTGTACTGTGCAATGGCATATGTTGAACATCGGACTCTAATAGACGATGTCAGAAACTATATGATTTTTGTTTTTGTTTAATGAACTTGCGGTGCTAACGGAAAGTATATTAAACAGTGCTTACATCTAAAAATCTTGCTTACAGTACAAAATGGGGATGACCCTGAACTATCTCTACAAAATGTGAACCTCAGGTATTTGGAGACTAATTCACATTATCCATTCTAAACTTGACCTTTGCTGTCCTGTGAAATAGTGTGAAATGCATTCAAATGCCAATATGATTCTTTGTTCATGCCGACTTTGTGTGACATGCCAATATGATTCTCTGTTCATGCCCACTTTGTAAAGACAAACATTGGTGACAGTCATTGTGTAAACAAATCTTTGGTCCATCCTCATTTTATGAATCGTGGCTGAGTTTCTCAATGCTCTTTGGTCAGCGGAAGGAAGAGTTTGCACCGCGTGTACTGGGACGAGTCCATTGGATGCAGAGTGGATTTGTTTTATGTACACCGGGTACGCCGCTGAAAAAGTTGTTGGCGCAACTCAGGGGGTAACCGGCATAGCCATAGATGGCTCAACACCACATACTGAACATTAAACATCACGAAAACTAAGGCTGCACCTTGACCAAACCAAGCGTTTTTGTAGATTCTATAGATGGCGCATCCCAAAGCTCTTTTTCCCATCCTAAAAAATGAACGCGGCAAACAAACACAAGGACTGCTCAGGAATCTGGACATTGAAGGATCAGTTTTCACCTCGGAGTATGTATTTGTATCTGACTCAGGCGACTAAAGAATCTGACTCCAAGAAACGAACACTCAAACGTGTACAAAAAGGGTACCCTGACCCCCTGTTTTTCCTTGATTTTGGCCCTGTACAAAAAGGGTACCCTGACGTCCTCATGTCTCATATAAATGTTCTCTAATTTTTTTGATCATAACTTGGATGCCGATTTTGACTCTACAAAATGGGAGGGTGTAAGTTTCGGCATCTGCCAAAAAGTGCTTTGTTACAAAATGACCCCTTTGTAAGGGCCTCGAGCTACCCCTATCTGTAGAGGAAATGCGTACGGGGATCGAGATTTCCTCCAAAAGTGAAGCGCCAAGTCTCCAAAACGAGCGTTGCGTATGAGACTTCCTCTAAGAGTGGAGTGCGACCAATCCAAAACGCACTTTCATCTGCATTTCCCGCACTCGACACGCACGATCTCCGCAGAGGGTTGCGCCGGACCGGGCCAAAACGCACTCTCGCCTGCACTTCGCGCGCTCGATACGCACGATCCCCGCAGAGAGTTGCCCGCGACCGCGACACATCGCACTCTCGCCTGCATTTCGCGCAGTCGACACGCACGATCCCCGCAGAGAGTTGTCCCGGACCGGGACAAATCGCACTCTCGCCTGCATTTCGCGCGCTCGACGCGCACGATTCCCGCAGAGGGTTGCCCACGACAAAGCAAAGTCGCACTCTCGCCTGCATTTCGCGCACTCGACACGAACGATCTCCGCAGAGGGTTGCCCGCGATCGGCACACATCGCACTCTCGCCTGCGTTTCGCACCCTCGACACGCCCGATCTCCGCAGATGGTTGCGCCGGACAAAGCCAAATCGCAGTCTTGCCTGCATTTCGCGTCCTCGACACGCACGATCTCCGCAGAGGGTTGCGCCGGACAAAGCCAAATCGCAGTCTCGCCTGCATTTCGCGTCCTCGACACGCACGATCTCCGCAGAGGGTTGCGTGGTGCTCCGGTGGTACTGCCCCCGGCCTTAAGAGAGAAAGTTAAGAAGAGCGAGAGGTGAAGATGTGAGATGTAGATGACAGGTAAAGATGTGAGATGTTGATGCAGATGTGAGGATGTGAAGATGAGCAGAGATGTAGATGTGCAGGTGTGAATGTAGATGTGAAGATGAGCAGAGATACAGGTGAGAATGTGGATGCGCAGAGGTGAAGATGTGAAGATGTAGATGAGACGTAGTTCTGCAGATGTTTTTTTACGAAGAACCCTTCGCAGACGCTCTCGGGAAAAAGAATGTTACGTCCAAACGTAGACTGCGAAAGATTGATGAACTAACAACAAGGAACTCAGTTACCTCCGAAATGAACATGTAAGTGGGGAAATAGAATGACATTCAGGACACACACACACACAGAATGAAACAAACAGCTGCAGTTGAATGTTTGATTTATAGCACTTAGGATCACCACAAGTAGTAGTCTACTCAGAGTTCCTTTGCCGGGCAGCTGGCAACTTCTCCAAGAGCGTGTTGCAGGTGGCATAGACTGTCTCCCCAATATCACCACCAGCTGCAGAACCACCTGCAGCATGGTCGGGCCTCTTGAGTGCGACACTTAAATCATAAATCATGTGGTCTGCTGATTTCTGGTTCAGTACCAATTAAGCTCGGGTTTCCAACATGCATGCATCAACGCGAAGAAGCCTTCTTCATTCTAACTCAACTTGGACTTACAAAGGGCTTCCTGCATGGTTGACAAACCAGCTATAGTTTATACCATTCAAAGGACACCCCATCTTACCTCAGTAGACCGATAGAAAGCTCTGCTGCTCTTTCTGGAGTCCCTTCCACCCTTCCACCTCCACCACGTACTTCGATCATTGTCTGCATCAAAATGTCCGTGTCAGCAAGGGATGATGAAATTTCAGCATTTGTATGCTGCCCGAACGCCTGACAAGGGTGGGCAGTGGGGACACAATGTTACTTATGCTACCTTTTGATGCATACATATATCCTTCCATTCGACATCATTCGGCTCTTTGTAGAATCACAACGCAACTAGCACAGTTTGAATTAGTTTCTATCAAGGTTGAGCCATAGACAAAAACAACCAGTAGCGTCCTTGCTACTAGTAGCGATGCCCCTGCTACCAGTAGCGATGCAGTGGTTACTAGTAGGGGAGCGGGCTAAAAGAAAGGAAATCTTGTTACTAGTAGTAATGCACTTGTTACTAGTAGCGATGCACTTGTTACTAGGTCCAGTTTCTGCGAGTCACTGACTTGACTTGAACAGCGAAGGAAAGCATACTTTGCATTTTTGAAGCCTCGGGGGGCTCGCTCAAAGGCAGGGACTGGACGTATTGTCGATAGCTGTGAAGGCTGCCGTCCTGGATTGACGGCCACGAGTTCGAGAAAACCGTTGGAGGATATGGACCTTCTGTGGGGCTTCACAACTTTTGCCCGAAAGGCTTACCCAGGCTTACCGAGCTTCAAATTTTGCCCAAAGTGAAATCTCAGCCTTTTGGTTGTTGAGTGTGACAATTGGCATCGGCATTCACTCGATCGGATGCATCTCTGCTCCTCCGGAATGTAGTAGGTGTTCAGAGTTGACAGCTGGAATTTGGGTTGCAATGCCGCAGTGCAGAAGAACTCGTTGACATAAGACCTGGCAGGAACGTGATTCATTCATTTCACAATCATTGGGACCTACATATGCTGTCCCAGATGGCCTCAACACACGGTTGTCGGGATGCTCAGTGACGCGTCCACCATAGTTGGCCTCCAAACTGCAATTTCACCACTGGAAACATGAACGTGTTTTTGTCAGTCTGCATTCAGATTGACTGGATACCCACGGGGCAAAAGGCATATTTAGCCAGGAGCAAGTTGCTTGGTGTCAGTCAATAAGTCACTAGGCGGCATGGATATACAATAGCCGGGCGGAAGAAGACCACCTGCCTCGGCGATGAGATAGCGAATAGCATCCCACGGAATTTCAGTAGGGTTCTCGTCCAAATACATTGCCAGGATGTTCTCACCTCAACTCAAGGTAAGCTAAGGCATGATTGACCCGAAGCAGAGTCTTTGGCACTGTCAAATGAGGCCGCGACAGATGTCAAAGTCAGAATCGTTAAAGTCATAGCCGATGTTCCAGCCCAGCATCTTGAACTTCTTCCGCTCCAAAAGCACTGCATGGAACCAGCACAAGGAAAAGAATAACCGCCGATACTTCTGAGTCTCCTTCACGCGGTTGTAGGAATCCTGGAAGCGAGCAAATGGCAAGGAGCAAAGGGGTGGTGCAATGCATCTCATTCCACCTTTATCGAGCAGGCTACTAGTACTAAACACGTGTCCATTTGCTCAATCTTTTTTCCCTGATCGCGCAAGCCACTCTCGCAGCCATTTGCGCGTCTGCTTGTCAAGCTTCAAGATCAGCTGGTCCATCGGGCTTTCGGCGGAAAGGCTCTGCATCCTTGGGGTTCCCGCTGAAAGGAACGATATCATCTGGAGGTTCACCCAAATGTGTCAGAGCCACCGTGCAACCTGGATGGTTTGAGCAAAAACTAATGCAGGGATAGATGGGCTCTTCTTCGTGAAACACATTTTCTGTTCCACGACATGGTCCTGTTGATCGTCTATTGAGCACAAACTCCAGTGGAACACCAGGTGTTCTCAAGTCCACCAGAACTCCAACAGAATCTCCAGCGGCCATGGGCACAGAAATCTCCAGCTGTCCGGCATGAAATCTTTTCCCTCCTTGGTAAGCATCTCCATCATCAAACCAGAATGACCAGGATTCAGCATCCTGGCCCAAATAATTTCGGGGAGTTTTCCGACATAAGCCCATCCGCAGGCTCACAGGCCGGTCAGTGCCATTACCATTGTCCAACATCTTCACTTCAAAAAAGTGGCATTCACCAAGTTTCAACTCAGGTCCACAAGCTGCTGGGTAGCTAAACTCCTTCCGAAGCAGCCTCAACAGCCGGCCCTCCCCTTCAATCGAAATACTTTCAGGGGCCGTTGCATTCTTGAAGGTCATTGGACCAATGACACCTGTGATGGAGCTACCGCTTGTGAGGTCCAGCGACAGCAATGTTTGATCCCCATCCAAGGCAACACCAGCGAAGATCAAGGCATTCAAGCTGCCCCTAAGGGGCAGCAGCTGAAAGGCCTTGTATGCCTCCTTCTTGAATTCAGAACATGTCCAATTTGGGTTCGCGTCCAGCTCAAAAAGCAGCTCTCCATTGATCGAACGCACCTCTATCGCTAGACAATCGCTTTCCATCGGACAAAAGGCAACTGTGTACTTGAGCCTTTGGGGGCAACCAGGATGCATTGTAGTCCTTCCAATGAATTTTGGCTATCTGTGTCACCTTTGCAATGCACAAACCTCAATCTGCCCGCTCCTCGGAGGTGTTTTGGAGCAACCGCACCAAATTGGCCTTGAGACCCTTTGGCGGCTCTGTTGTCATCTTGATGCAATTTTGAAGAAGTTGGATGGGGAACCTGAGCAAACAGCTTGGGCATGTGAGCATGCATCGCTTGCCGTCCCTTGCAACGACAATACTTCCGATGCTCTGGGAGGAGTTGTCGGATTCAAGTCCTGTCTGGTACGAGTACGATCTTTGCCGGGAATAACATGTTCACCAACTTTCACGTCTCCCCCAACTTTGTAACCTACTTGTATCACACGGTTCTCACACCAGCTCAAGCCATAAAATGAGGGTACATACGACATAAATTATGTATATAGACTTGACACAGAACACAAAGAATGGATTTCGGATTTATCGCATGTTGCTTGTCTTGCCGTGCCACTTTGCACGTGCATGGAACCCTGGCTCTACCCTGCGTTTGAAAACACTTGACACTTGGTCCTTTTTGTGCCTTCTGGAAGAGAACAATAACACAACTTGCAGCTCCCTTCTTGCGACAGGCACTTGGGTGTTGGCGAGGAGGACATGAAGATCCGGAACTTCTCATGGGGGCCTTGGTCAAAGGTCCTCTCGATCAGCTTCTCCAGGGCTGGCAGCCAGTGGACACACAAATGACCTCCGTTCGGAGAAGCTGTCCGAAATACTCTTTTGACGCATGGGGCAGTAAGGCACGACGGCCATCAGCTTAGATGGAGTGACGCACGGTAGGGTTACACACAAGCAAGATCGAACAGGCGAACAGGACAGCTCAACCGTTGTTCAACTTTCATAGAAATTGTGGTCTAAATTCTCTTGGTGCTTCTCCTTCAACACCACGCCACAGTGCTGCCAAGACACAATTGGCCAGAAGGACCCAGAAACCCTTCTCCGCGCCATCTTTCCTTGCATTTTGAAAGTTTCATTATACTATTATATTTATGATTCCCATGTGGCAGAAGGACTTGTTCACAATGACTCCTGGAAATGCATGTTGAAAACATGTGCTCTTCAATAACCTCTAAAAATTCATGTGCTATAGATCAATGAAGCTGTACAGTACAGCTTCGTGCATGGTGTTTTAGTTTTGACGTCATTCTCCACTCTTACTGCACCTTGACATTGCTGTTCAGCCGAATGAAAGGGGAGCTGGGCTACCAGCAGCTATCAGCTAACCCAATCAAATTCTCAGCAGGTGGCATCATCTTCTCTGCTTTCCTCGGTCGGAAGGCTTGAGCTTCAAAAACATTCTTTTTGCAGGAATCCCCTGTCAAAACATGGGAAACACCGCATAGAAACTTGGCCAAACTTGCCGTCTTCTTGTCTTCTGCAACATATTCGCTTGGACCCTGTCGGCAATCATTTGGACAACATCTTCGGCATGTCATGCTATCAAACAACATGATGACATGGCTTCTGTGTGACAACGGTGGGTCGGGAAGTGCAGTCAATTAACATGCTGTCAATCATCCTGAAGTTGGCATCATGAATCATGCTGCCATTTTATCGGCTCGGATTCAGCCGGCTGGCAATCAGCTTCTTTTTAAAGAACAACTCCACCATTCTTGGTTGTTCCCGACAAAGGCAGTGGCAAAAGCGGTGCCGCAAAGGGCAGGGTAAGTTTCTTGTTTTCACGACCCCAATTTCGCCAGGCCGGGTGCAAGCCAGTCGAATGCCTGAACAACAGCTGCAAACAAGTCTTGCTGATTACCCGGGGAAGGGTTGGAGGAAGGGGGTGGAAGGCCTCAGATGTAATCGGATGTAATGAAATGGAAGGAAGGCAGGAAGGGGAGCAGGGGAAGGGAAGAACAAAAACACCTGAAAGCCTGAAAGTCAGGAAGAACCAGCGTGCAGGTCCTGGCCAGGTCCTGGCTGTACCACATACTAAACGAAAAGGCTTTGACAACAGGTGTCCCGAAAAGGCTGTTTTTGCACAATGTCAAGAAGCTTTCCGGACACCTTCAAAACATCCATCTAGGCGAAAAGAGTTGCTGATGCAAACGATGCCGCTACAATAACATTACAACTTGCATTTTCTGAAATGGCCTCAACCTGGACCAACACAACACAACTTAATTTTAATCCACATCAAATTGGTACAATCTGCCCCACGCCAAATAAGTCACTTCGTTCGCAGAAGCTAGCTTCAGCCCAGCCTACCGGCTAGCTTTCGTCAAAAAAGAACAACACATGTGAAAGTTAAGTCTCCCCAAATATCTAGAAACTCTTAGCCCTTCTGCGTCCCTGTCGCCTAGTTGGTAGTCTCTTGTTAGCCACTAGTAGCGTACCCATCAGCTTCTCTTCTTACGTCTTCTTACGGCCTACACCCTAAAAATCTAGGAACCAAATCATTAGTGACTATTAGTGTAAGCTTCCTTGAAGAAGCGTGAGCTATCCTGCGTCCCAAGTAGTAGTTACTTAAGCTACTAGCTACCCCTAGCTACTACCTCTACGGCCTAGCCCCCCGGGGCTACGCAACAAAATAGATCAAAAAAACATTACCGAAATGTGCCTCCACGGATCGGCTCTTGTCCTTGTCCCAGCGAGATGGTTTGCCAGGCCACATTCCTTGAAACGGCCAAAGCCCTCAATTGGCCTGTGGGATCCATGCCAGGCGTCAGCACGAACCTTGGCGTCAATCTGGTGCCAGCTGATACACTTCAGAAACAAGGTCCAGTCATGCATTGATCAAACAAATCCGCAGTTCTCTGAATGCAATATTACAGTATCTTCTGATTCTTTATGTGTATCTTTAGAGCTTGCCAAGTGGCAGGAGCGGGGTCAAGCAGGAGGTTTCGTCCTTAGACATGCGTACAGTAGGGTGGTGAGTCATCAAAGTGTTGAGTGGTGCTGGCTTCCACCAGCGTTCCTGTACCAGTTGTTCTGAGGATTAGCAAGATTCAGCAAATAGAAGCTCAGTCAGGGGCAGCCACTAGGCGCAGCCAGGCAGCATAAATGGCTTCCAAATCCAACGGGGGAGGCTCCACGAACTTTGAATCGAGTTTCAGTGCCTCAAACGTTTGGGGGCAAGCGGACAGGCTGAGCTTGGCTGTGCTGCAAACAGGGGACGATCATAACCCAGTGAAAACGGTTCAGGTTTGGTTCATCCCGTCTCGGTAATGTTAAGTTTCCCTAAAGCTGCCCTTGCAGGTAGTGCTACCTCTTCTAGTAGCTACCTCTAGCTGCTAGCTACTACCTCTACGGCATACCCCTCCCCTGGGGCAAAAAAAACAAACAAAACATAAGGTGAACATGATATATAGCGCAGGATGGCGGTCCAGGTGGATTTTGCCAAGGTACTACAAAGACCTGCACTGCAGGTAGGACACGATCCGGTCTGATGCAACGAACTACGATGAGCTTCCTTGTCTGGAATTCGTGAAGCAGTGCAATCTGACAGTGACATGAACCCTCTGCAAGTCCATCTAGTCTGAATCCAATGAGCTTCCAACGTCTCAATTACAATTCCTTTTTATGCCATCCCGAAATAAGTTTCACTTTTCCTTGTTCCATCCTAACTTTGACTCAAGTACATTTAAGTCTCCCAAGAGTCTAGAAACCAAATCATTAAGCCTGATCCATTCTGCGTCCAAGCTTAAGAAGCTATTACTTGCCCCTTGCTGCTACTTACTTAAGCCTCCTCACGGCCCACCCCTGGCTTTAAAATAGGAAAATAATCAAACACAACAAAACAAACAAATACCTTCGAGGTTCTGCAGCGGATCCAAACGCTCGTGCCACTCTCCAGGCAGGTTGTCCTTTTCTGGCTCAGAGCCGCTGTACCATTTCCTCGCCATCGATTTGATGAATGTTGCTTTGATATGCTTTGATCATTTTTGCATGAACAGCAAGCAAATGCAAGCAGAAAGTATAGTCCGGCAGTTGTGTGCAAATCGCCAACTTACATACTCATTGAAAGGCTCTTTTGTCTGACAATACAAAATGACGGTGTACATCTTGGTAGGTTCCTAAAAACAAACGACTGTCCACCTGTAATTTCAATTCCAAAGCAACTGTATGCTTTGTTCGAAGGTGGCTGGTTCTGGTGTAACTGCAAAATTGGAATAAACCATGGCGATTGATCCCATGCAATCACGCAATGCCTCTTCCTACATTCTTTCCGCTGGCAACTCAAATCCCGTCAAACTCACAGGTTGTCACTATATAAATATTGTCATCAAACATAGCCATAGCACTGATCAGTGCAGTCATGCCAACTCCAGTGAAATGGAGCTTCTGGACCACTTCTGGAGCTTTGAAAAAGGTGGACCTCTATAAGTGGCACTTGAGTTCTTTGAGATCCTTAGAGCCACCCTGGGTCACCCCCCAAGGCCCCAGATCTTTTCCGGAAGTTGTGACTCATTTGCCTGACAAAATCAAGAGAATAGACTTGCTTTCTCTTGACAAGGAATTTTTGATCTGACCTGGATCAATTTAGGGATTCAGGTCTTCATACAAAATCAGCTCAAAACAAAACACGCTTTCTCAAACGTCGACGTACCTTAGTTCCCCAACTCTGCAGGTCAGTCAGGCATCTTCCAGTCCCGCAAGGACTGCTCCAGTGAGGTCTGGAAACCTGACCAAAGCAGCTCGTGACGATTGGCATGGTGTTTCAAGTTACAATTTATAAGCCATCATGCGAATCATGAATGTATAATGATGCATACAATCCACTCATACATGATTTTCTTCATTGCTTTCTTCAGCTGTGTTACAGTAGTGGTGCAGCCAGGTCAACCTGTACACTGTATACGTTACGAGCTATGCATACACCGATTGTAATGTGCACGTTTCCCATAAGCACCTACGAACCAAATCAATCAGAGAGTGCGTCCGAGCCTATTGAGATATGTTGCTGGAGCTGCTCAAGGCCAAGGGCATCCGACCACCAACTTATGAAAAGCTTCCACAACCATACAGGAACCCAAGACTATCCGGCACAGTTTTGCTTAGATACAAACCTGTGGTGGCCACCCACAGTCAAGAATATCATCACACAGTGGAACTTCCAAAGTCCCAAAGATATGACAAGTTATATACACATTTATTGCATGATCAACTAATGAAGCATGTTCAACTCTATGGCGGATTCTTGATGCCTTCAGACACATTCATCACACCCACACACCTAGAGAACAAAGAAGGCTCCTCCAAGCCAAAGCTATACTTACATAATATATATATATGGTGCTTGCGAAGCAACGGCTGATGTATTATGCATGCATAGATCAAACGCCTTGGCACCTCCCGGACACGCACATTTTTAGCATGAATTGGGCTTGCCGGCAGTTGTGAGTGAACAAACCACAAAATGTGCTGTGAACGCCAGAACACAATGAGGGTGGAAGAGCACTCAACAATGTAACAAAGCCCTTATAGTAAATGCATGTAAATGCAACAGGATTGCTCGGACTTAGACGATCGGCTGTGAAATGTCGTATGACAATCAATGCTGTCATGCAAGTCCTCTAGGTCATGCGCACTCCCAGCTACCCAAGATAGGCTGAAGGGTTCCTTTAATGCTCCACTTGCGTAAAGAAGAGCATTTCTGTTATCCCCTTCAAATGTTCTAACCAGAGGTGTTCAGGTTGCTTGCAGTGCAAAGAAGAAACCTGTCATTGGCTTGTCTAAACACAAACTAGGATTTCACTTTGTCCTGCCTTTGAAGGACTCCAACTTAGAGTCAGCCTCGATGATGTTGTCCCACATCGATTGGTTGATCCAATCTGGTGAGGGGTTGGGTGACTGGCCGGATCTATCGAAGACCTGTCCGCCGAAAAGGAAGAATGAGAACTCTGTCTCGTTGAGATCGTTGGAATACTTGAGAACCTCAAACGTTGAGCTCAACAGGTCCATGCAGCACACCATTATTTTCTAGCCAAAAGAAGCGAACGCAAGCAACATCGAATGTGTAGGAATACAGCAAACAAGAATGCCAAAGCCAACACGTTCTCATACCTCTAGAGCAAGTAGCTTGTGCGCAAAGATGCAGCGACAGCAAAAGCTTATGTCGCTCGAAGATTGCGCGGCATCCATACTTGTAGACAGCCAAAGCATGGAAGGCATTCAAGTCCTCAATCCGCTCTTCGACACCTCCGTGCAGGTGACAAACACCCGAGACAACATCAAGACCCCAATAGTAGCTTCTTGTTACTAGTAGTAAGGCCAGGAGCCCCTAGTAGCGTCCTTGCTCCTAGTAGCGATGCCCTTCGCTCCTAGTAGCTTCTTGTTCCTGGTAGCAAACGAATGCCTCTTGTCACTTCTTTCATGCCGGCCATTACCGCACCAGCTCTCTTGCCTCCGACAGAGATCTTCTTTTCCGCGCTCTTTTCAATACTCTGGATGTACAGGATTTCATAGGCTGCCAATGCAAACCTACAAGGCTGGCAATCTGCATACACTACTTCTTCAATCTCAGCTTGCTGCAAGTGGGTGCTCACTCTTTCTTGCCCAGGCACTGGTACATTGGATCAATTGCCACCAAGTCGTTGAGAACGAAATAAAGCACTGCGGACCGCAAACCAGCAGGGCGATAGTTCTCGCGCTGACCATCGATCTTGACCATGTTCCTGAGGCGCAACGATTGATCATCAGTGAAGGGCGCCAAGGCCCTCCTTCTACGGTACAGTCTCCAGACGACATCCTGCCCAGGGTGGCATGCGCACACACACACAAGGTGGAGGCCATCGCTACTAGTTACTAGGTGGAGTACATCGCTACTGGGTGGAGGCCATCGCTATTAGAAAGACAGACAACGAAAAGGAAGACAGGCAACATTTTGGGGCTTAACAAAGGGCTGCGGAGAGCCTCCAAAGCCAGGCCGCTGTTCGGCGTGAGCGACCTGCTCGGTGGTCTGAATGCCTGTCATTCATAGGGACAAACAACATTAACTGTTCTATTAGCACATGAATACCCTTTCATCTATATTTTGTACATGCACGTTGAAGGTCTTTGCATTATGGGATCGTTTAGAGGCATTCAGTCAAATTTCATCCTAGTGGCTGATGACCTTCGACTCCTGGAGAGTATCGATCAGGCTCAGATCATCCAATAGAGAGCCCTGCACCGACTCAAAACTATGCGAAGCAGCTAGTCCGTGGTGATCAAGTGAAAGGCGTGCAAAGATTGCAAATGTAGAGGGTCATATTGAAAGCTCGCACTAGGTCATCTTCCAGCTTTGATCTATTTTGATCTTTACTCACAAAACATGTTCAACTCAGATCAACTCACATCAATTCACAAACAGTGCGGAGTTGATCGACTTGTTAGGCTTGCGTTGGCATGGATTGACCGTTCCAGCCTTTGTCTCTGCCAAAAGTCGCAGGATCTCGTTCTCGAGTTCCACCAAACGGTTGCGGCCTTTGGTTTAGAGCACATTCTTACTGGTGTTTTCAATAAACTACCCCGATCATCCTTGATCAGCAAAGTTTTAAGTTTCTCTGTGTCGGAACCCATCGGAACTCTTCCTTCCTGCTTTCTTTGGGATTCCCTGTCCTGTCTGACCGCAGTTCACGGCCTACTCCCCCGCTCTTTATTCGGTGAAAAGAGAAAATGTCTTGGCTTGCTAAGATCTGCTAAGCGGCCCTTGGCCACTTGGAAGAGCAATTGGTTCTTGTCCTCCTCCAGTCGCTTGTCTTCACAACGAACAATAACGCCCAACAGCTGGTTGGTGAGACCATCCAGCACCACGATGAAGTTCACCTCTAGCAGCTCTATCACAGCAAATCCACAAAAGTGGAGAACATGACTAGCAAGCAGCAAACCTGACACATGACATGACCCTGCTAGGTCTCTCACCATGATGCGGGTAGAATTGTCTGTTTCAGCAGTTCTAGTACTCTGTCCTAGTTCTTCTTTGGTTTTGCTGTCGTTCCCTCAGCTTGCGCGTTTATCACCTTGCTAAGAGAAACCAATGTGATAACGTGCTGAATGACTTTTCCCTCAAAGGCAAGCCAGAAATCAGCGAAGAATACCGTGCACGTTGAGGGATCCACATCTGCTTTCTTCAGAAAGCAAGCAAGCCCCTCTAACCCACACAAACAAATTTAAACAAGCACCGCCCAGTTCAACCTTAATTACATACAGTATATAGTTTGTGACATGTTGTGTGCAAACGAGGAGCGATGGTTGTTTTGGTGGATACCTCAGGCGTGTAGTGCGGGTTGGACAGTTTGGTAGTGATGTAGAACATAAAGGCTGGGTTGTAGTCCAATACGTTGTCTCCAACCTGGGCAGTCTCGCCAGTATCCACGGCCGACTGTACAGCGTGACTAAAATGTTTCCAACATGAAATGAAGTTGCCTTCATGTTATCCCTGATCCCAGCATTCCAGGTCCCTCTCTCTGCAGGCAGATCGGTGCGATATGAAAGTATGAACAAAGAGAAACAACATCTCATCTCGCTCATCCCTCTGCTGCTTTGTCTCGCGACTCTAACTCTAACTACAATGGGTATGCTCCGCGCTCCCTGCCTTAAGGGACAAAGTTCCACCCCCGTTGTCAATGACGTTCTTCGCCAAAATGGGTTCCAAAGATGGGTCCAGCTCCTGACAACGTCCAAATCCAGCGCGAATACAGCTGTTGGCTGGCAGCAAAACACTTCAGTCCGATTCACCCAATCGCAGGATGAGAGAGATTGCGCCAACCCAAATTGGGAAGGCACACGTCTATCTGAATTCTGTGAACCATGCTGAGCCCTCGAAACCGAGAGGTGCCTCACCAACATTCTCCAGCAGGACCGGAGTGCCAAATTCGATAGCACGCTCCAAGGATTTCATGATGTCCTGCGCCACCGTGGCAGTGCCTTCTCAGCAAGTCTTAGGTTCGAGATTCTAAACCAACATTGCTCCCAACAACCATTCAGCCTCTTCATGAAGAAAACAATTGTTTATCTTGCGCCGGGCCGATTGGATAAGGTTTGAGCCCTCCAAAACTTGCGGAGCGCTGAGGAACAGACCCATTTGTATTTGATGAGAACTTATCCTTTTAACTTTCACCCAACCTGCGTTGGACTCTGAGCTGGCTAAAAAGCCCAAAACGACATCTCCCCAATGGACCCTGCACTGTTTAAAAAGGGGTCACTTCGACATCGATTCATCCACATCCACATTTTGACATCGGCATCCTTGGAGTTCGGGTCAAACACCTTGAGCTGACGTGACTCTTCCATCTTCCTCACCCAGGTGTTGGCCTGGCTTCGGTGGTCTTGGGTTTGGAGACTGCCATCGGGGCCCTTGTCGAAACATATTTGATCATATGAGTTGAACAACCACGCCACCGACAAGCTCTATATTATATAACAGACTTTGGCCTGGCTCTGTGGGTCAATCATCAGTGGGAAGCGTCGACTTTTGGTCACCAGCACCTGCAGTGGGAGCAACATCAAAATCAAACAAATTGTTGTCACTTTCGAGGGTGTTTGGGGACTACAGAAAAAAATGCAACCACATCTCTTAAACATCCATGTGAGTGATGATTTTTCTAAACTACAGACTCTTCAAACACCAGATTTTGTCTCTGGTGGACCCCCTATCGCCACTTGCATATTGTCAGGCTGACCTGTTTCAAAGGGCATCGTTTAAAGTAGCAACTTATAAAGTCAAGTTTAGTCTGTTGAATGCGCATGTCTTCTTCATTCGGATCCGAGTTCGTTCTGCAACAGCCGTAAGTTGTTCTTTACATCTCAAACTTGAATTCACTCTGATCTCCTGAATTTCAATTCTTTCGCTCTGTGGAGTGCCTTTGACGGTCTTTGACCATCAGTGCTACACATGCCTTTGAGTGAATGCCATGCTGCCAAAGACAGGTTTTGGTATTATGTTTTATGTCACCTTTCTTGTCAAAGGCACACCATTCTCTGTGCTAAAGTCGTCTGCAGGAAGTTTTTGAAGGTTCCTTGGTGACAAGAACTGTGAGGCTCCACAGGTGGAATGACACAGGCAAGCTCTTCTTTGAATCAGCAGCGTGTGACAGAGGTAAACGGGCACAACTTCAATTGTCCATCGATCCACTATGACCATTGTTTCCCTCCAATGACCCTCTGCCGCAAAACAAGTTCACAAGATTTGGACTGCCCGTTTGTCAGACCGAACATCCTATGAGCATCCCTTCCACATCCCATGTTCAGGACTCCTTTAGATCATCGCTTTTTGAGGCAAAGGCTACAAAACGGATCAAAAACACTATTAGGTTGGAGGCCATCGCTACTAGGGTGGAGGCCATCGAGGCCATCTCAATTAGGTTTGGAGGCCGGATCAAAAAGGACTCTACGACGTCCTCTTGTTACTAGTAGTACGGGGAGCCTCTAGTAGCTTCTTGTTCCTAGTAGTAAGGCACTTGTTACTAGTAGCGATGCACTTGTTCCTACGACTTCATTCTCCAGGACTCCATTCTCTCACCTCTGTGGGCTTGGCAAGGAAGCTGGCAAATGTGTAGCTGCTGGTGAAGGGCACTTCCTCCAGAGTGAGGCCCGAGTAATGACAACGGGGCGACCTCCAGTTGCTTAAGCTACTTTGAACTGCTTCAAAACCCAATCAAAAGCTCTAAGACTCTTAGCAAACCTAGAAACAACAGCAACATTCCATAATATCATGTTCCTTTGTGTAGAGTCTAGAGATACAAAAACTCTCTGCCAAACAAAGTCACCCCACTCAGAAAATCAAGCTGTGTCCTTCTCTTTGACGCTGGCCATCCACTCATGTTCTACGAGCTCATCGCGATAGGCTGCGCCGAAGGGCCCTGCATAGCTCATAAAGGCCGCTGACACCAGACAGTCACCAAAGAGATTCTCTTGCCTGGGAGTCACAAACAAGAGGCTTTTCCACATCAATAAACAATAAGGAAAAACAACTGAAAGCTCAAGTCAGCTTGAACTTCTATTTTATTCTTTTGCAAGTCTGAACACAGCACAGCATGGTAGGCGTGTTTGAGCAAGCGCTCTGCTTTCAACAAGAAGCAAAATGGGAGAGAGTCTGTGCGAAAGGCGAAAGGTTAACCAAAATCTATCAAACACTGAAGAAAAGAGTCAGTTTTCACAAATTGCGCAAGCTGATGCAAATTGATAGTACACACTCACCATCCGTTGGATTCCCTAGTCTTGGAGGATTGCACAAAGCCAAGACTGAAGAAAACGGACGCATGCGCGAAAGTCTCGAGAGTGGCTGTCGTCCCATTCCCACACTGGGACATTGCTGTCCGAGCAGCTGGGCATCAAATTTCCCCAAGGACTCCGTCCAGCGGACCTTCTCACCCGCCAGGCCATCGACCAACTTGCCTGGCGTCTTTTTCTTTGCCCACGACCCAAAGAAGTCTAACCCAACAAGCCACCCACTTATATAGTATCCCGAATGTAATCTGTAAAACCCAGGCTTTGACCCTGGCCCTAAACATTGAAGACGCACAATTCCCTTGTTCATTTAACATGTCCACTTATTCCTTTAGGAAATACCAATCATCGAAGGGGTGGGTCTTATGTAGTCTTATGATGTCTTTTCACTCTGGACGTGGATGATCTCTGGTTAGGATGGAGATGAAGTTGAATTTTACATATTTATTAATAAGAAATCGATTTTGGGATATTGCAAACAGTCCACGAAACGGCCATACACATTGGAATCCTTGATGAGTTCTGGCTTGCGGCAGTGCCACGCTCAAAAACCAATTCTCGGTGATCAAACTAGTCTGGTCGGCCACAGCGGCCCAAAGGACAAGGGAAAGGGAAAGGGCAAAGAATGCAAACCGGGTAACCGTGGCAAAGCCTATCGCTACCATCTCAGGCTCTCAATTGACCCGTTGCATTGTTACTTGCCGCTTCTGAAAGCTGCAAAACATTGCACTGTCAGAATAGGACGGGGAAAACACAAACATTCAAACACGGCCTCCCAGGTAATCCAGTCGCTTTTGGATCGTTCCTCAATCAACACCACCTACGTACATGATTTTGTGCTTAGGGGATCCACATTCATTCGCTTGAGGGAGGGCAAGGGGCCTGTTGCATGACATTCAGGCTGAAGCAATCTGCCGTGAGACAAATCACTGATTTGGAAGAGCAGCTCCAGTGATGAATGGATGACCAATACTGCTAGAGGGACACGCTGCCAATTGTGAGGCTAGCCTGCACGCTCTAGCTTTACCTTGAGCTCTTCAGCCGTTCGTGCCAAGGTCTCCTGCCAGGTCTTCAAAAGGCTCCAAGAGCCAAACGGGATTTAACACGGTCGTTTTCTCCCTAACAGGCATCGGGGTGTAGTTGTCTATGGAAGGGTCATTGTAGATGATCTTTTGGAAACGCTAACTGAGTCACTGACTCTTAGTTTGGGAAACCGTTTTTCTTCAATTAAAGTCGTTTGACTTCTGCCTTCTCATTGTTGGACGAGTTGAACTGGTCATTCAGGCCCTTCACAAGGTCCTGAACCTTCTTGAGTTCCTTGGCAGAATGCTTTTCTAAGTTTAAATGCACTTCTAAGTTTAATTGCACTACTCCCCAGGTATTAGCTACGCGAAACTGTAGCACAGGAATGCACAGGAAGCTCACTAAAGCTTCTTAGTTGAGACACCAACCAAAATTGACATCCCTCACCATAGTATCAAACGAGTGCAAGATTGCAAGGTTGTGCCAGCTACTAGGGGCTCCTGGCCTTACTACTAGGAGCAAGGACGCTACTAGGGGCTCTCCCCCTTCGCCTTTGTCAGGGCAACTTTTTGCACGAAGGCATTTAATTGCAGCCCGTCGCCTGACACAGCCAAGGCTCCGCATTTGCCTCGCGCAATTGCTTTTGCTTCGACTCCAACTTCTCTTGAGCTTGTCTCAACTTGTTCCTGCGGAATGGTTGTTTGATGTTGTTTGTTTCGTCCTCTCAAACAACAGCCTTCTCCCTTCCAAGAAGCACAAACCACTGCACAATGTCACAACCCACCATTTGAAGCTGTGCTGACTTGACCAACCTTGGGTCTGACAGTCCAACACATTGGACCAACTGGAAGCTGTGCTGAACAAGTGCAGGAGGAGACGTTTGTCTGTTTACGCAATTAAACATAAGTTTTCTCTTTTAGCCCGCCCTTACTTTATTAAGTAGGCGCCAATTTATCAAAAAAGGGAAAGTGCTCCTAGCTACTTAAGCTACTAGTATGGACGCAGGATAGCCCTCGCACTAATGATTTGGTTCCTAGATGTTTAGGGAAACTTGAGGTCCTCTTTGGCTCCACTTCTCGATAGATCTCAGCATAAATCTTCATGGCATGCACCCACTGGCACAATGCGCCCGCAGCCAACGAGACATTGGACCTGAGTGAGTTTGGAAGTTCTATGAATGTGCTTGCATGTGCTCGGGTGCTTGGAACACCACCTTGTGTATAATGTGTATATAAATACATATATATATATAATTAGTACGATAAGGAACTTTGCTGACATTGACGAAGACGTGCTGTGATGTGCAAGTGCAAGGGTTTCTTCTTCTTCTTCCTGCCTATTCAATGCATGTACCTCCCACTCTGGGCGACTGACACCAACTTGGGTGTGAAGTTGGAATCCTTCGTAAACTTCTCGATTTTCCTGAGTGTGGTATCCTTAATGTTGTCCTTGGCCAGATGGCAAACATCAAGTCCATCACACCGCCCGTCTCAACACCAAACACAAGAACCATTAATACTGTCTAATGTCCCACAAACAACGTGCCAGCGAAGTCAAGATCGGTCCTTATCAAAGTTTTTGATCCTCACCAAGAAGTTTGTATCATTCAGCTCTGTCTTTGCCTGGCACTACGAGCATCGTGGAATCATCCCACTCCCAAGCTTTCACACACACTTATGATTTTGCGTACTGAACTGAAAGCGGTGCCACACGCCAGCCTAGGTAAAAACCGCCTAAGGTTCCAGGTAGTAAGTTTGAGGCCTCCAAGGCCTATGAGCACGAGGGCGAACGACGGCGACAGGGTGACGACGGATCGTGCATGTCTGCGGAGCTCAAAAGGTCCCAACACTCCAACGTGAGTCGCCGCTGCATTAGCCGCTTACTGCACAACAAAGAATGAGACAGCTTTCGCAATACTTAGGTTCTCAACAGCAGGTACACCAGGTTGATCAGACCTGGCTTCCCAGATGCAAGGTAGCTTTGTTAGGCGCAGTCCCTTGCATCTGCTGCGCCCCCCTGCTGAACAAAAGAAAAACCAAAAGTACCATCCGTAAGGATCCCTGTGACTACAAGGGGCACACACACACACACTCTCGTGTTGGTCATGCAGCGCTAAGATTGCATCACGATTCATGAATGTGCGCCAAGTCCAGATCCACTCATTCACAGGCGGCATCTCATGGCATGGTGCTGTGGTGCTCCCATGGCGCTTCGATGCCTGACCCCAGGAAGGAGTCTTCTCCATAACCGTCATCACTGCGCACATGGTCTTCATCACTGCGTCTGGTGGTTTGGGATATGCTTTCACCTCAAGGCAGTTGTCTTTGCGAAATCACAACTCGTTCAGCAAATTTGCAAGACTCGGGCGCGCCTCGGCAATGGATTTCTTATCCAACTTCTCCAGGGCATCCACAGCAGCGTCAAGAGCTGGCATGGCTTTCTCAAGATCGCGCGTCGCATCGTCCGCCAAGATCTTGGTCTCCTCAGCAGAGGCTTGTGCTGATGGCATTCAGGAGGCAACTGGTAGATACAGTACAAAATTCATTTTTAGAATCACACATGCCCTATACACCGCAGTCACATCACAACACGTGTATGACCCTATCACGATTTTTTGCATGTTTAGTTTAGCCCCACCTCTGCATAAGAGCAACCCATTCAGTGGTGACCAAACAATGACGCGCACTTGGCCTACCTATTTGTCCGGTGTACAAATCTTGCTTTGTGGAGCTGCAATTTCGAATCATAATTTGTGAGGCGCGGCGCGCATAAGAAAAGGATATCGGTATCTATCACTGAGCAAAAAAAAATCATCCCACACATCTAGCCATGGCTGCAACATATGCTTCCCGTTGAGCATGGATGCCCACCCCTCCACGCCTTGGCCTCCTTCTCAATGCGGATGGAGTCTGCTTCCACCTGTGCTTGTTGTGCGTCTGCCTTGGATCGCTCTGCTGTAATCACCTGCCCAAAGGCGATTCGCAGCTTGGAGGCTCCAATCAGCTTCAACATGCTTTAACATGAGACCGTACATCTCCCAACAACACCCAATTGGAACTTTCCAGCCAGCCTTGAGAAGTTCTTCACACTCCTTGGCCTTGACGTCACAAATCTTTTGCTTCTCTTCCTCAGTGGCAAAGTGATGACTCACACTAGAACGTGACTCGTGTAACCTCTAAACTCACCCCTGCTTGGAATGCCTCGTCAAGGTGATAACCTGGACTCATCCACTGTCTTCGTCTTCCAATGTCAGCTCAGAGAAAACTCTCTTTACCATGTTTCTGTATAGAACCCATGTTTACGTTCTGTTTTCATCTGTTTTCTACGTTGTGAGATTGCGTGACATTCGTGCCAACCATGGACTTGTTCTACAGTCTTTCCTTCCGACAACCTCACCTCTTCAATGGTTTGATGCTGGACACCCTTTGGCCTTCGGCCTCTTGACGTCCTGATCTTTCAATGCCCAAGTTGTGACAGGGGAACCTCACAGGGGACCTTGACACGAAGCTCTGCATTTCTCTCTTGTCAAGACACCAAATCCACGCTCATCTCTGCCACCTGGACTCGAGCGTCATCCAGCTTCCTGAGATGATGGCCAGCTTAGATTTACTTGGATGTTCCTTGCCCATGAAGGACGTACTATATAATCATTTCAAAAACTTTCATTTTCATGTCAGGTAAATAATCGACTCTTCGTTACACCAAGCAGCGACAGGCCATTGCGAAGCTTGTCAGCTGCTGCTCCTAATTCCTTTTGCTTGTCCTCACTCATTGACTTGCCATTCGATTCATCGTCTATGGACATGCAAGATGAAGCCCAACTTGATTCATACATTTCACTTTCGACATGTGCGCCAATCTCTGTCATCAAGCGGAATCCCCTTGGATGTCGGACCTTCAGCATCTTCATGTAGCCTTGCACAAGCTCCAAGTAGTTGGTCGGCGTGACATAATTCATGCGCTTCTGCTCCTCGTCAAATGACTTGTGCGCTCTCTGTCTGTCTGTCTGTCCGTCCGTCCGTCCGTCGGTCGGTCTGTCGGTCTGTCTGTCTCGACATCTGTACACAAGAGAAAGAGTACAGATCTGTAACAAAGAAGCGTGTAGATATATCCTCTCATGCTCTCTTTCGCTCTCTTTCTCTTACACGCGCCTTTCCTGCTCTCTTTCTCTCTACATCTACATCTGTACACAAAAGTATTTCTCTCTTCCAAGATCCATCCTGGTAGATACGCGTGGAGAAACGCATTACTGTCGTGTGGGCGGCCCCGAAAATCTCTGCAACAGGTGGACGGAGATGCTCTTCAAGTTCGCCTATCCAGGACATGTCACTTCTTGTCTTTTAAGCAAAGTCCTCGACACCCCAAAAAGCTCGTGCCTTCGGTGAGGAATTTCAAGGCCACTTCAGTCAAAGCTTCAGCTGGCCATGGCAGAAGCCAAATGGCAGTAGTGCAGCTTACCAAAGAGGGGTACATACCTCACTGTCCAAAACACTTCGAATCAGTCACCAAACAGGCACGGAACAGGCTGTTTGTACAGCAAAGCATGCATCTTTGCCCAACCAAGCTGCGGCAATAGTCTCGGAAGTTGTTGCCAATGTAGGACATGCAAAAGACCTCAGCAAGGACATGCAAAAGACCTCAGCATCTGTTGCGTGGGCCAGTTACTCCCTTGCATTCTTGAACTGAGAACGAGGCTATGTGCAAATTCTCTCGCACACGAGAGATAAAGAAATCATACATAGCTTCTGGAGTTTGCGCAATCTTCGCTTCCTGCCAAAGGCGGCCCACCAAGCACATATGGGGCATGAGGTTTACCGCAGTGAGTAAAGCAGCGGATAATATTTGGATATATTTGGTGTGACAGAGTCTGTTTATGCTTTGCAACCACTTACCGCATTGAACAACAATTGTGACTGTTTTGGTCTGCTTATGTTGTTGGATGAACAATACACTCACTCAAAGCACGTGTCCGAGTAACTACATCTTCCAGTCCTTACCAGCTTTCTCCAAGCTGGCGCGTACAGTTGAGAGCTCGTCCCCAGTGAAAAGATTTGGTACTTCACCACTGCTCAGCATGTTGGCAACATCCTCCAAGAAACTCTCCTCCACAATCTCAGTGTCCTGAGAAAATGTAAAAACCTCTGCAAATACAAGAGTACAACAGACTGGGCAAACCTTGGGTCGTTCTTGATGCCTTGCAGAGCTGAAATGCATTGCAAAAGTCACACATACATACACATACTATTTACAGACTCTTGAACGTTGAGACAGCCCAAGCTATGCCAAGAATCTGAAAAAAGGAATGTCATCCTCTGGTTCTTGACACCGGTGAGCTCATAAAGCTTCTTGAGGTCCTCCAAGAATGCATTATGCTTGTACCTTGGTTAGTCATTTGAGACAGTTTGTATGGTGCCCCCCAAGCTTGCATGTATGTACATCTTTGGTCTTTAAACCTGTGGCTGTCGCATGCACTTTTCTTCAACAAGTTGATGTATATGTATATATATATATGGCTGCTGTAACAATTCATTGGTTATATACACATGGTATATATACGTGCAAACAAACAGTCCTCCTGTTTGCTTTAAGCTTTGTATGCACCAGCCATCAAAGCTTCCCTTTGGGAACTACACAATTTGCGGAAGGTCCCGAAGCCAAGCTACTGCTTGGTGATTTCGATGGAGAAGCACTTGTAGAAGGCAATAAAGGAAGCCAACCTTGTTTGGCAATGCCTTCCAGATCCACCCACGCCGATGAGGAGTGCATTGCCTCTCAGAAAACGAATCGTAGAGGATGACCTTTGCAGTGCTACAGTGTAGAGACTAGAGTTGTCAGGGATCCCCTTTGATCCTCACGGTGTCCTCCTGTCCAAAGTGTCCTTTGCACGTCAGTCCTTGTGGCTGCTTCAAGATGCGCAACACCTTGCAGCAAATCTCCACCGCCTCCTTGAACCTCAATGACTGAAGGTATCTCGAGGATATTCCGAAGAACTGACCAACACACCAACCCTGCACCCCAATTCCAGCCCAGTGGCATAACCAGGGACATGGGTGACTTCTTGAACATGGCGTTGTAGTCCTGTGCACTACTTAAAGACATCTGAAACGGGAAGATCATCGGATGCTGAGCTGAAACCTGCCGTGGAGCTAGGAGTCCTCGTTCCTGCTTTCCATGAACCGTTTGAGGCCTGACGCACTCAAAGAGTTTGTTTTCTCGATTATATTTTCTGCACTTGCAGCGGTTTGCACCGAAGCCTTAGAAGGAGTACGATCCACTGAGATTTTAAACCATAGTATGCTGTATGCTTGAGAAACATCATGAACGGGGCATGCCTGAGTCACCATTGCGGTCTTGCATGTAGTCATAGACGGCATCTTCTGCTTCTGGATTGGTCAAATCCAAGGATGCGAACACAAAGTCCGGATCGCCACCGTCAATCCTTAAGTGATGGAGACTCCCCTCAGCAAGACTATTGAGCAGCTTGCGATGCATCATTATGCATGGTGACTTTTTGGTTCCTCGCTTACTGTCTTAAAAAAATCAACGAGCCTTCCTGCCAATTCCATCTGGAATTTGCCGTGGCTCTCTTTCTGCCTTACTTGGAGGCCATTGTCCATTGCGGCGTCAAGTAGGCTCCGGAACTTCTCACGATCCTGCAACAAACTAGCTGCTAGCTGCCGCGTTGAATCTCAAATGGGGCCCTTTGCATTCGTCAGCCCTCTTGCAGCGCTTGATTCCCGCCAATACCACAACAATGGCCTTCCTTTCTAGTCTAGTGCTCCATGGGTGAGATCAAAGGTTCCAGGCTCTTAAGTCAATTGCTTGATTCTGTCCTCGTGGTTGATGAGGCGATCACAGAAGACACGGCAGCATTCATGGTACCAAAGACGGACAATCTGCTCCTTCTGTTCGTGGACCTGACGGGAGCTTAATTTGTCAATTTTCAATCAGCTCTGAGGCTCGTTTTGAAGGAGCTTATATAAAATACACATACAGTGCCCGGGCCGGATGAATATCGTGGCAATTGAGGTGTTTGAACTACTGTGGCCCTAGTATTCTCTGGCAGTGCAAAACTAATCGGCTAACAGTGACTTGCAGCTGAGCCTTAGTATCTGCCAAGTAGATCCCTTGAAAAATCTTCGCAATATCCCGCAAATTGAAGAGGTAGTGGCACTTCTCAGGTGTTGGCAGAAAACCTGGGCATCGAAAAAACACCCAAGGACACAAGTACCAAACCACTACCACAATACAGCTCACACCCAATGAAAAATGAACCGCTTCTACTGTAAAGCTGACCTCAGGTCTGCGATGATGGTTGCTTGGGTTCCACTCATTTGTATGGATCTATAACCTTCGCATGCGAGCAACCGTCAATCACTTGGGTGTAGATGTTGATGGTGGTCATTGTCAAAGGCTCAGAAAGCGCCTTGATCTCTTCGCTTTGGAACGTGTTCAGCTTGTTGCCTGGGAAGGATGTCAAAGGTCCGAAGTCTTCACAGTTGCTCTTCTGTTCTCAACCCCTTTGATTGTCACGCGCAAGAGCAAAAAGATGTGAAGTGATGGCTTCTTCGCTTTTCTGCAACCATTCAAACGATTCAAGGGTTTTGCGTGTGCAACAGCCACGGCCCAGTTGCTGGCCAACGTCATGAAAATGCGCTTGATCTGGCTGTCGGCAGGATTGACCTTGCTTCAACACAGCCTAAGAATATACATATACAACGTATATACAGTATATATAATGTATATATATATACACATGTTTACGCACTTAGAAAAGAGCATCATAGCTGGCTTACTTTGTGTCACAAGACAAGCTACAAAGCAAAGATTGTTGGCTGCGCTCTGCAAGCGTGAAGAAATCACAGCGCGGCCACCGCCAGGTGGTCCCATAGCAGAGACCATGTGAATGCCTTCTGCATACCTCAGAAGTGGAACATTGGCCTTTGGGAATCTGGCGAGCTGGCACAGGTGCAGGGAGAATCAAAGGCTTTCTGAAATGTTCAGCCCGGGTGCCTCAGGGTTTGCTTCTGGCGATCATACCAGCAACCATAGTCGATCCACTGCCGCAGAAGTTCCAAAGGTGGTTGTGAGCCAAAGGTGTCTTTCCTGCCGAATGTGCCATGGTTGAGTCCCTTTCAAATCTCTTTTGGGGTCAGTAAAGGAAAATACTGTAAAGGAAAGAACAAAAGAAATGAGAAAAAGGAAGGTAAGGCAGGTAAGGCTCCTTTCAAAGGGGCCGTGCAATCCCTTTTTGATTTCATTATTCTTTCCTTGCCCATGCCTACATGTGGACAGACCATGCTGTGACATGGCGGATGAAAGACTGCATTTACAAAGTCTGGTAGAACCTTCCCCCATACAACCTTTGGAGTCACCTTCAGGATACACCGCCCCCCTACCATCGTAGACTCTTCTAAAGAAATACAGTAACCAGAATTTAGAGCGAGGAAAATCAGAATTCACTTGTTACGAACTATTTTGAACATGATCGTCATGAGAGTGCACGAGGAACAGAAGGCATTGCGACGACGGAGACACATTCCCATTGGCGAGATGTTCACTGGAATCCTGATCAGCACTGCATGAGAAAACCCCCCTCCTCGGCATGTTCAAGTCGTCCACAAACATGAGCATGCGCTTGTTGCCAGCCTTATGTTCGATGCCATGTTAAATCTACAAGGCGTCGGAGTAGCTCTGATTCTGATGCTCAATGACAGAACTCCAGTACCGACACTACCAGAAATCCTTCGAGGAGTGGAGCACTACTCATCCCGGCTGATACCAACTTGAGGCTATGCCCTCTGGAGTCTGCACCTCCAATTTGGAAACCAATGGATACCTCCTGAAGTGACTCTTTTAGTATTCAAAAGTGAGATAAATAAGAACAACCTCAGCCCAGTCATGTCAAGAAGCAGGACCAAACTTGTTCTTGATTCTCTTTTCGATCTTGCTTTCAATAATTTCTTGCGTCTTGCCTCTCAGCAGGAATTCTCACAGGTGGAAGTGTCATTGGACCTTCCAATGCACCTGCCTGAAGACGTCATAGCTGACATGTTGATTGTCAAGGATGTCCACGAAGTTTCTTCCAACCCGGCGATGGCCTCTTTCGAAAACGTAGAATTCTTTAACACAAAAACAGCAAAAGACGAGCTCGCAGTCATTTCAAGGCTTCTAGGACTAGCTCAGGTCTGCTCATCCTGGTCATTGGAGCCGTGCTCGTGCCTCTTGAACAGCGATTGTCTTGCCCGTGCCAGTGCAACCCACCAAAAGGCTGTGGAAATGCTTGGAGTTCAGCGACTTTAAAATAAAGAGATTTCCTCAGCTAATCGGACTCCGCGAGGCCACAAAACATGCCCGAGACAAGCGCTTAGCCTTGCCAAGTCTCGGATGGTATCCGTGGTAGGCACGACAATCTTGTGGAACGGGGTTCCTTCCTTGGCAGTGCTAGATGTAGGTAGCCTGGAAAGTTGAGCTTCCCCTGATGGATAGACAGCTTTGTGAATGGCCCACCAGAGTCAGCCAAGGCTCCTCTGGCCGGAAGGGGTTTGGCAGCTTCTCGTCCCAGGGTGCGAAGTCCGCCTTCTCAAAGTTGAAGGCATAATCGTAGATCGATTGAGACGCCGGGAAGTAATTCCTGTGTCCAATTTCTCACACTGGTCATGCAGTGGGCAAACACATGCATACAAATAACTTAAATTATGGGCACGCAAGGCTAATCCTTGAGGACAAAAAAGGGTGCACTCTTGGGATTGCGTCTAGAAACAATAGGCACAAGTTACGGCATAAGCAACCCAGTCTAAAGTCGTCGCACACCTGGCTGAACATCTCAAGAATCCTCTGCTGCTCGATAAACAGGACACAACGAACATATTAGACATCCTCTTGCACCAGGTCCAGCTTCAACATCCTCTTACTTTCTTTGTTCCTAGTAGCGTCCTCGTGTTCCTAGTAGTAAGGCCAGGAGCCCCTAGTAGCCCCGATCGTAGCGTCCTCGCTCCTAGTAGCGATGCCTTTTGTTCCTAGTAACTGACCACCCTCTTGGAGTGGACAAACCCGACAAAGTATTGTTGTAGCAAAGGATGTTTCAAAACCTCTAAGCAAGGTGAAAGGAAAACCACGCCATTCCCCCAGTAGTTGGGTGTCCCCTCATTCTGATGCCCTGGTACACTTCGCCTTTACTGCTGTAATCCGCTTTTGAGGCAAGCATCTCCACTTCTCGCACGCATTGGTCGAAGGTCGGCCTGGATGCCTCTTGGCTCCGCACAACAAGTGATACAACCCTGTCTTGTTTGGGTGCTTTTCAATGTCCATAGTATAGAGAGACTTCCCAGTGCTGTGTTTCTGGATACTTCGGTTTATCCACTCCGAAACGTGGTCAGGCCTCTGTAATGGAAGCTCCCAATGACCAGATCAAGGAGAATGCAAACAGCTTGTCCAAAGCTTCCAGGGTCTTTTCTCCAAAGCTTTCAATGTCAATTTTTGGCGCGAATGTCTCATACAATCCTGCAAGCAAAATGCAGCCAACTGCGATCAACACCTTCTGTATTGCAGAACTTCCCAGAGATTAACAACGACAATTGAATTTTATTGAACATTATTCAGCTGAATATTTCATTGTCACACCACACTCGGAGGTCACTGAGAGAAATGGACGGATGCAGCAAAGGTTCGAGTCAGCGACATGACCGCATTGGTATCGACGATAGGTGCAAGCTCAACGCAGTTTTTGCGAATCTTGAGGCACTTGGGAATCCACTTCTCTGCCAGGTTCATCACCTTAGTGTCAGCCAACCTGATAACGATGGCCTCCAACCTAATAGTAGCAATGGCTATGAGCAAGGCAAACACCACTAAAGCTTAAGTTTTGCTATACAGCTTTCATTACCACAAACACCCATCACACCCTCCTGCCGAGTGTCATCTGTCTGTCTGTTGGCTGGAATGAAGTTCTCAACCCAAGACTTGAAATATGGCTCCCATCCCAGGTCTGGCGGATCAAAATACACCTGGGCAGCTGAAGTTGTTCTTTGAAGGTCTGGAGTCTGGAGTTGGGAGATACCGCATTCCATTCCGATCCCAACCAATGACCAACATGAGCAGGCCCCACAAAGCAGCAAGCGCGTACATCAAATCCTCACAATAAAACAACCACTCGGCATTGCGAACATTACATGTTTGTCGTGATCAGAAACACATGAATAAAAGCCGACATGGTGAGGTCTCTTTCTGAATCGCTTTGACGGAAGCCAGCGCCTTTGTCGGCAAATTTGGTGTCCCTGCGGGGACATTGAGATTGATGGGGTTTCGTTCAGCTCTCATACAAACCCAAACCCATCACGCTTTGAGAACCTTGAAAAAACATCTCAATAATCCCACGGATTCTAGTTCTGCCTGGCTGCCATGCCAGCACGGGAAACGGTGGCAGGCGAGGCTTGGGCAAGATCGGCCACCTCAAAAAGAAGCCGGACCATCGGAGGCATTGAAATTCGGTCTCCGTTGATCAGCGTCAAGACCTGGCAAGTGCAAAACACCAATGCCAATTGGGCCACTTCTTTTTCTTTAAATCCCGCTCCTCAACTCCCTACTTAATTAAGCAGGCGCCTACTTAATCAATTAAGGCGACTAGTTCGCCAGTAGCTACTTAAGCTATTAGCATGGATGCAGGATAGCTCACACTTCTTCAAGGAAGCCTTTCACCTGAGGGCGCGGGGGAGCTTCCTTGAAGAAGCGCTCGCACAAATGATTTGGTTCAGATTTTAGGGACACTTAAACTATCATCTCATGATGCCACTCTGAAATTTGTTACACGTTACATTGGGTTTGCTGAGCTTTCAGGCTTTCAGCTGCATTGCGTAATTCTTAGTGACTTGCAACCCTTCTGGACACCTTGTTGTCGTCGAGCACTGTATTCATGGACTCAATCCAAAGAGTATCCACAGGCCCATCCAGTACCAACCACTTCTCGTCCGGCTTCTCGTCCTGCCACAGTCGGCGACAAATTGGTTTGCAACATTTTGCAACTATGCCGCTCTGCTCAAAAAAACATACTATATAAATCATTGTCCTTCTGTGATTGTGAATTTGAACGAATTTGAGGGGCTACCCTTGGATAGTAAGAAATGCAGTGATCGTCCTGGCACATGCGCCGCATAATCGAGGACAGGACACCATCGGTCCATTCCATCATTGTGGCTGCGTCATAGGCGCCGTACAGTTCGTTCCTGATTCTCATACATATGTAATATGCATGGTCATGCATTGCATGATCTATTTTGACCCAGCCATTCAATTGATTCAAGCGAGCAAGCATGCAAAAGATTTGAAGGCGTAAAATCCAAATATTGGAATCCAAGATTTGGATGGTCCAGCCCTTGACTGGAGCTTTCTACCTCCATGCCCCAATTGCATCCTCCCCTCAAAGCATGGCCATATTTTTCTCAAATCTAGAATTTCTCAACGTTGACAAACTCGAAATCTTCAGACCCTCCTGATTGGAATACCGGTCGTTGTCTTCAATTCCCTCATATTTCTTCCAACTTGCTGCCAAGCTTCATGGTGATTGACTTTGGATTGATGATGTCAAAGATCACTTTCTCCATGCCTCAGATATACAGGAACGTGGAGTGCAACAGGATGTGCATGCAGCCTGAGTCTTGCAGTTTTTGTTGAGAACCTCCGCCAACATTGGAACAGCGTTCAAACTGGGTCGAGTCAAGGAGTCAAGGCACCTTCCTGACCCATGGACTTCAGGATGCACTTGGCCTTTGCCAAAGTTTTCCAGCACACGCTCTTGCCACCAAGCGTTCCGCCCACCAGCATGTTGCCATGGCGGGTGATTTTTGTCTCCTTGGTGGAAGCAGGTCCTTTATTCCTAGTAGCGTCCTTGCTCCTAGTAGCGAGGTCAGGAGCCCCCAGTAGCTTCTTGTTATATACTAGTAGCGATGCCCTTTGTTCCTAGTAGCTCCTTGGTGGTGACTAGATGGTGCAACCCCTTCTCAACTCAAACTTCTCTACATGCACAATGGACCACTCAAGGGTTATCAAGATCACCGTTGTCTAGCACACATCCAGCATAACATCCCCATTTACGTCATAAATAGGCGGTCACATTAGGGCTGGGTCAAGGGAATCGCTGCATTGATCTGGCGGCTCGCTTCTAAACAAAGATCCAACACACAGGCTTTCAATATGACCTGGACCTTCTCCGCCTATATGCTAAGCATCGTTTGCGGATGCCATCTACATACATTGTTGCAATGCTTTTGTAATCGCTGAGCATAGTGCTACTGTACTATGCTCATGCATGTTGAGCAGTGCCATTCCAAGTCTCGTAGATGCTGATGCACTTTGCCACAGAATGCTTGACTTTTTGGCATCCCATCTCTTCCAAAACCTGATTGATCACCTCCTCCAGCTTTCCATAGTCAGGGACAGGAAGCTCCACTCCTCCAGGTTTAAGCAAACATGTCTTCGTTCTCTGTGCTGCAGCAAGGCCTCAGGCTAGTCCTGGGAAAATGTCGCTCAGAAGTGCTTGATAAAGAGGAACATCTTGTGACACCCATTTGGGAGCATTCATGTCCTTAGCTCCAGGCATGCATGTTCACTCATCGACAACAGATTGAAAAGAGCCCCCCAGCATTCTGCACTTCTGAGCATTCAGTAAGGCATCATTGATTGCGCGCATCAAAAGGATTTGCTCTGGCATATCTGGCTCCTATGAACTCAGGCAAAAATGTTCAATCTTATATCTGAGTCATTCAACAGTAGCGTGTCAGCTCTTGTGGCTCTTGTCTTGTTCCGGAAATTCGATGGGATTTGGGATGCAGTGACTGTCCAAAAGACTCCGAAATCTCGCCTTGCGCTTCAAAGCACCTGCACATCCCAGAACGGACTTGATGTTTCGTAGTCCGAAGTCATAGTGATGCTGCTTGGACCTGAAGCTGACTTGTGTCCTTCGAGCCTGCTTGATGAACAAACAGGGCTATAGCGAAGCCAAGTGGTACTTCGTTCTACTATCTGATAAGGTCTTTGCCAAGCTACATCTGCTGCAGCATCATCTGGTAAAGTGTGAACTTTTTCTTGGCTAACATCTTGAAGTCCTTGAAGCCTGCCATTCTGTGCAAAGTCCCCTACCTTCATGGGTTCAACTTTCACATGTGAGTGCACTGTCACATGCTATTATGGGTTGAACACCGATGTGATTCAAGGTGGCAACAACCGGCGACGGAGATTCCCAGCGAGAGCCTTCTGACACCAGCATGATTTCCTTGGGACAGCAATGCGGACTCATTGTGTGAGAAGTAGCATGTCTCAAAAAGTAATTGACATCTCTTATCTCTTCAATTCAATTTCTTAGGATTTCAGAAAGCGTCCATGATCATGGCAAGGTCTGGGACCATCATCGCCACTGGTCGGAACAATGCCTTCAGATTGTCTGGCAGCTCTGAACGTCCAGCATAACCGGGGTTCATCGTGATGAAGACCTGCCAGATCAAGCCATGGGATCACTGTGACTTGTCAGCTGAATGAATATCTTGTATCAAGCAGGTTGTGCCAAGGGACCGCACAAGTTCTCTTCAAGCTAATCAGGATGTCCTTCACAAGCTTCGCTCAGCCACACCAGTTTAGTACTCAACCGAGACCTTTTCAAGTCCTCGAACAGGAACTTGTCTTTCTCTTCTTTCAAGGCATTCTGAATGGTCATGATTTGCACTGCAACCACGGACCTGGGATTCAGCGTTATTTAACAAAGTACTGTTTTTAGAACACACGCACGGCAACGGGCAGGTCCGCTTGCACACTCATCTACGGGTCTCTTTTTGCCGAGACTCAACACAGAGACATCGATGCGGTTGAACTCATCGAAGCAGCCCCAGCAGCCACACCTGATTGACTGATTGACAACAGTTTTCCCAGCTTACAGTATCACACTTTCGTGATCTTGCCTTGTATGCTGGGACCAGTTGCTGTGATCTGATCTTGTGATCTGTATCTTGTTTCATGACGGAGACAAGTTGCTGTGCCAAACCCGAAAACATGCGGCCCAAGGATTTGTAGTCCAAGCCATCGGAGCAGTTGAAAACAATGACGTACCTAGGTTCCAAGAAGTTATTCCTCGAAGCGTTAGCCTTGAACACTTCACAAAATCAAGCATAATGCAGCATCATGATATGCCATGCCGCCACATCATTGTTCAAACTACACAATTTCATCTCTCATGCTGCATGCTCACATTTTTTGTTTTTTTCCTTTTAAAGAATCAATACATGTGGCAAACTTGGGACTTTGACTCACAGGGCCGCCAGGGCAGCTCAAACCCGAAGAATCAAAGCAAGGACCAGGTGACATCGCCATGCCTTTGCCCAAGTCTTTCACCTGAGATCTCAACAAACGGTATGTGACGTGCCTCGTTCAGCACAAACGAGACATGGTAATCATGGTCACTTGAGTCACTATTATATGTTCGTTATCATGCCGCAATCATGCCTGTTATTTCTACTTCAAGGGCTTTTCCTGCGATTCTACGCATCACTGCATCCCATCCGTTGTCTGAAAGGAAACATCTGATGAAGCCATTTCTCCTGAGTTGAAGATCCCTTTACCCTATGCAAGTAATCTAATTCGAATCAGTTATCCAAGGCACTGTTCCCAGCACGACTCGATTCATTTATTTGAACTGGGCCTTTCTACCTATGTGAGCACCTAATGTCCTTCTTTATCTTCTGTTCTCATCTGTTCTCTTCTGTTTTCATCTCAGGTGTATCTAGCCAGGTGGCTGACTCAGTCTTACCTGTGCCTGCAGGGCCTGCAGGTGCGCCACCTCGCTTCAGGTGCATGGCCTTGATGCGATCTTCAGCCGTAACAAACAACGCTTCAACCGTCATCCTTAAAGGGCCCTTACAAAGCCTTACCTTCTTTGTTCATCTCTTAAACATCGTCACAACGCGACGGGCACTGTCATGTCAGCGATGGAAGCTGCCAGGTTGCAGTGGTCAAAGTCATATAGCAGCGGTCAGTCATGGGTGTCACCACCAAACGGCCGTTGTTGCCCTGATACTCGTAGCCTGTCTGTGTCATCTTGAAGGACAAATTGAACATGCAACAATGCAACACTTCTCATTCTTCGGAAGTAGTCTCACTGCCGAGCACTTGGTAGGTTCAAGAAGTGATCTCAAATCAATCAGGGTAAAGAACCCATCGATAGTGCGTCTGGTACTTGAAGGGCAACGAGGGGGGCCAAACCAAATGCGATCAAGTGACCGTAAGGTGCCGTTGTGTTGGTTTGCAGAACTACGCATGTCTGCACCGGCTGACCACCAGAGGAGTCCTGTCTGCAGTTGGGTGTTGCTTGAGCCATTCAACCCAGTTATAGTCCTCCATGAAAACATCTCAAAACAGTTTCTCTGCATCTCTTGCAACTTAGAACAAAAAACCACAATGCTTCAAACCGCTTTCACAGTGCAGCAAACCTACCAGTATCTTCAGTGAACCCCCAAAAAACGGTCCTCCTGACTGTCCCGCAGCTCGAAGCGCAGCTGGGAGGTCCAATTGAAGTTGCTGGGCGATTCTGTCTTCAGGTTCTCGGTCGGATTCAACAACTATCCAGTCGACTAGAACTGGAGCAACAGGAACAGTGCCGCCAGTGTTTGTCTCTTGCACGGTTCTACTTGTCTTATTCCATCTCCACAGCAGCACAGCACATCACTCTCAAACACCACGTTTTTTCCGCATTTCCGCCGTAGTTCTTCGACAGAAACTGTAGTTTTTCCCAGCATAGGCGTCAAAAAACCAAAAACGCTAAGCAACCAGAAGGCATGGTGTCGACAGGGGGTCTTCCCAGCCCCAAAGAATATACCGAGCCACGATAACACAATTATACCGGCATAGACCCCAAGCAGTTTCAAAACGATTCGTGTGGGCCAATACTAGTCAAAAACGGTTTCTTGGTACGCCCTACCCCGGCCAAGAGCAAACGACGCATCGCTAATTGTTCGGCCACAAGCGAAGACAAAAGAAGAGCAGGACAAGAGAAGAGCAGGACAAGAGAAAACAAGAGGAAGACAAGACCCGGTCACAGAGTTCAGGGGGGGTGGCCCGTCAGTGTGTCCAGGGGTGGTCAGCGTGGCCAGAGGACAAGAGAAGGACAAGAGGAGGACAAGAGGAGGACAAGACCCGGCCACAAAGCCCGGCCAGCTCTCTTTTTCTAAGATAGAACCCCAACAGTAAACTGTTTGGGGAAAAACAAGTAAGCATATTACATCGGGATGAGAAGCATAGGTCGTTCCCATCATTGCAGGCAATAGCGAGAAACCCTGCATCGAAGACCAAAGGTGCCAGGTTACGAACAAAACATGCCCAAAGCATAACACTTGCATGGTCTTCTTTGAAAGAAGGAAGCACCAACAAAACAAACATATCCTCACACCATCCCCCTGCAAGGAGAAAAGCAGCAAGCCAAAACAAATGCATGCGCTCATACACTGGCTTGCCCATCTTACCCTGGAAGATGGAGACCCCTAATTATACCAGCATAGACCCCAAACAGTTTCAAAACGATTCGTTGGGACATGTTGGGACCAATTCAGTCAAGAACGACTTCTTGGTATGCCCCCCCCCAATGATTTGTGTCGGCGTCGACATCGCTAATTGTTCGGCCACAAGACAAAACAAGAGAAGAGCAGGACAAGAGGAGGACAAGACCCGGCCACAAAGCCCGGCCACAGAGCGCGGCCACAGGGTTCAGGGGCGCGGCCAATCAGTGTGGCCAGCTCTTTTTTCTAAGATAGAACCCCAACAGCAAACTGTTTGGGGAAAAATCATGTAGCTGGTACCAGGCAGATCTAATCCACTCATCACCCGTACAAGCTTGTGATGCAACTACGTATATATATATATATATATACGATATATATCATTTATAGCCTAGCACCTCCAGAAAGTAGCTTGCAGTCAAAGAGACAATCATGCGATCTTGTACGTCTCTTGCATGCACTTCAATTGTGATAAGTGCCACCAGCTTGTTGCGCTCAATCCTCGGACGCAGCAAACACGTTGCGAGAGTGCGGTATATCAATGTCAGGTATCTTTTCTATTTTGGAAGGGAAAACAGCCTCCTCCACTTTGCCACACATACATCAAACTCAAAATTCTTTATCGGTTGTGGAAGAAGGTTGTTCGAGATGTTGTCGAACAACAGGATAACCCACGCTCGTAAATTGGTTGGCAAGGCACTTGGTCAAAGGTTTTCGGATCATCTCGCAGAGCTTCGAAATATATTTACTCTGTGTCCTCTTCAGCATCCTGCATCTTGTTGCAAAGTTGCAAACGATTCATACATGAAGAGCTATCGAACATTGAGAGGATCAAATTGCTTCGCCATGAAATTGCTTCTGTTGATTCCAAGAATCCTCAGCGCATTCTTCTGGCCCTTCTCCACTTTACCCAGTGCTGCTGCACAGTCTGTGGTCCAAGCAATTTGCCCAGATGTGATCCTTAGACAGGGCAAGCAATCGCGTTCAGCATCATACTTAGAGTCTGGTAATCTGACATGCAGTACCATCTACTACATCCTTTATATAGAGGATTCCAGACTGCATAGTACTGCAAAAGGAACTCTTGCTGTCCAAGGAGCAGGAGTTGGCCAAGGAACTCTTTCACCCATTTCTCTTTCTTCATTGCCTGGCAGGATCTCAACATCTGCTGTGTCCAACAAAGCCTCAGTCATCCGCGGGCCTTGGGGTTGATGTTCATGTTGTGGCACTTGACAAGGTGCGCCTCACAGCTTTAAACAATTTAAAGTGAATCCAACTCCAATCCAAAGAGCATGCCATTCATGGCCATGCTGAGGCCTCCCAACTTAACAACACCCATTCTGCATCAAAAGCAGGTCAAAGGAGTTGTAACTTAAGAAACAACATCTACATAAAACTTCCTCAGTAACTTCTTGCCTTCAGAGATTCGAACATACGCTTCTCCACCAAGCCCAACCACACCTGGGCAGATCAAACACGCAAGCAACGGATCCTTTGGAGCCATTTCCAAACGCCAAAGCTGTGGCCATCCTTGTGGGGCACATTGTGGGGGCGTCGGGAACCCTCACCATCTATCTACATAATGTGTGAGAATGTATGTGTATATATATACACACTTATTCATGCTATACATGATGTATACCAAACTGGGAATAGTAATTGGATTCGTTCACACCGGAATCAGCCCGCCGTGTAACAGCAACATGCTCAACCCTGGAAACTTACAATCAGCACTCCTGCAGCTCTCCAGCACGAATCGCAAACGGAAAAGAATTGAAGAAGCAATGCCCCTTTAAAATGGGCCTTATTCAAGAGGCCGCTTTATACTCTTGCAAACCTTTTCTATAATACCTTTTTTGTCCCTTCTTTTGTCTAATGTGCAACTGATTCTGCCGGCCCATCTCGCCTCCACTGGCCCCTCAAGCTTCACTGGCGCCACCAACTTCTCCCTCTCGCCATCTGGGGCGTTGAGGCCGACTGCCTGGCAAAATCCATCGGACATCTCTTGTTACTACTAGCTTCTTGTTACTAGTAGTAAGGCACCTGTTACTACTAGCGATGCACTTGTTACTACTTACTTCCTTTTAAGCCCGGGGTAGGCCGCTAGTAGAGGGAAGAGGTAGTAGTAGCTAGGGAGAAGCTAGTAGCTTAAGTAGCTACTACCTAGGACGCAGGATAGCTCACGCTTCCTTGAAGAAGCACTCGCAGTATTCATTTGGTTCCTGGGTTTTTAGGGAAACTTTATGTGGCTAAAAAGTATATAAGTAGCTAGCTAGTGGGCTAAGCAGCTAGTAGGAGACCGTCAGGAAGCTACTAGTAGCTGGCATGCAAAAGAGCCCTGGCTTCTTCACGTAAGAATCCTTCGCACGATTGATTTGATTCCTAGATTGGGGAAACTTGACAGTTGGTATTTCGGTGGAGCCTTGTTCGAACCTGTTGATGAACACTCATTTCAACCGGTCGAACGTTTGGTGACATGATGCAAAACCTCCGGCTGCTTGGTGCCTCCCATCTGCGATTCTGTGCCGGTGGCTGCAACTCCAACGACTTTACACCTGAAGGTGACGGACAGGTAGAGACACGAAGGCAAACAGCCACCCTTCAACCAACATGGATAGGGCTCTCGAGGCATGTGCCTTCAAAACATTTCTTGACGTGCTTTTGAACTTGCTCAGGATCGCGAGCCTGCGTGGCATTTACGACATCGGCAAAAGTCGACTTCACTGCAACTTAAATGCAAAAAGGCCTGGCCCAAAATCTCAAGCAGGTCATCATTGGAAATGAAGTAGAAGCGAGGAAAGAACTGCCCTGAATGCAATTCCAGTCGTGCAGTGTCCCGACTCCAAATGAATTTTCAACGCAGCAAATGTTGCAGTGCCACTACTTAAGCAAACTAGCACGCTACTTGTAAGGCTCGAGCGTTTCTTCTCCAAGTAGTCGTTAAGCTTCTTTTGAATATTTTCCTGAAAAACACGCTACATACATACAAACTGACAAACCAGAACTTGCGGAATCCTTCCTCGGCTTTTGACAAAAGGCTGCTTAGAGCCAGCTTGGAACTGTGGAGCAGGGCGGAGACGAAGTATCAGCGATCCAGGCTATCTATTTGCCATCCATGGCTCCAAAGAGGCCTCGAATGACTGCAGGTTCCTCAGCACGAAGCAGCAAGCCCGCAAAGCACCTAAAGAGCCTAAAGAGCCAATGTCCGCACCAAAAGCACACACATACACACACACTTGGGAAATTCCTACGGTACTGCTTTGCGGTTTGCCATCCGCCAGCCTAAGTAGAAAAGCTAAGAAGGCAGGACAAGGGCGAAGTAAGGTGGTCTGAACATCTTCAAAGTCTCAAGAACCCCCAAGTCCAACGTCGAGAATTCCAAGGAAAGCGACAAATTGATGCGTGTCTGCAGAGCTCAAACTGATGCAATGGCCAGTCACTTGTTCTAGTGACAAACGGGCCCAGAAGGAAATTAATGGTGACCACTGCAGGTACGTCATCAGGCGTCCCTGATGATATCCCAGGAGCGTATGAGGAGCTTCGTTGGATGGAGCCTCATAATGCCATACGTCCTCTCCATCCCCCTGCAACAAGACCGAAAGGTCCCCTCTGCAGCCAAGGGTGTCACACATACACACTTCGACATTGGTTTTCAGTTAACTCAATTGGCAGGGAAAATGGTGATGGAACGGCATGGTGAAAAGTCCGCAAAAGTGGAGATGTTTGAACAAAAGGTTTATGAGCGTCTGCTGAACGTCTGCTGCAGGTCGGGGGTGGGAAAAGGGTTTGGGGGCAGTATCATGAACAACCATGGAAGACCACGGAAGCAACAAGCCGAATTGGACAGCGTGGTCAACAGTTGCTCAGCAGGTACAAGTGGTTGATCAGACCACTCATCCACCGAAAAGCCATAGCTTCGTTGGACTGGATAGGCAAATCGGCTCCAGTCCCCCTGCGTGCAGAAACCCTTCGAAACAGGGCTTGACACACACACGGTGCCGCTTGGCGGCGCTCGTGTGAGAAACCTGAATAGATACCTAAAAAGCCTTAGAAACGAAAGAAAGACAGAAAGAGCAGCGCTAAGAGGGCAAGAGAGAAAGATAGGTGTAGAAACATGAAAAGGTGAATACTTGGCCCTTGACTGGGGTAGGGAAACGAACCTCAAGAACCACCTAAAAAGCCTGAAAGAAAGCCCAACAAACGACGAAAAACGCAAGAAGGAAAGCGGGGGGCAGGGAGGGGGTGTATGTCCATGTGTGTGTACGTGTGTGTGTTTGAATACCTAGCACTCTAGAATTACAGAATACTTAGACGAAGTGAATTAGGTGCACTAGTTAGGGAGCGGGACTTTAGTCTTAAACCGCCCGGGTAGAGTAGACTAGAAAAGGGACAACAGAGGGAAAGGCACCGACACACAAGTGTGTCGAGTACCATTTCCCTATTTTATCCTAATTAGGTAGGGAGTAGAACGCGGTGGGGGGGGGGGGTCAGGAGGCCTGCCTCAAGGGGGGGGGGGGGGGAAAAGGAAGGGGGAGGAGGAGGGAGGACAAAAAACGTTTTTAAGCCCGGCGGCTAGCAAATTCGTTTTATAGCCCGACGGCTGTATGAGCAGTAAATTCAGGGTAGAGAAAGATCGATGAAGGTAAGTCAGTGGAGGAGAAGAGTCAGTGGCTCAATTTCCAGTATGAAAAACCCAGCACCCATGTGGGACGGCTGAGCGGCTCACACTTCGACATTGGTTTTCAGTTAACTCAATTGCCAGGGAAAATGGTGATGGAACGGCATGGTGAAAAGTCCGCAAAAGTGGAGATGTTTGAACAAAAGGTTTATGAGCGTCTGCTGAACGTCTGCTGCAGGTCGGCGGTGGGAAAAGGGTTTGGGGGCAGTATCATGAACAACCACGGAAGCAACAAGCCGAATTGGACAGCGTGGCCAACAGTTGCTCAGCAGGTACAAGTGGTTGATCAGACCACTCAATCCACCGAAATGCCATAGCTTCGTTGGACTGGATAGGCAAATCGGCTCCAGTCCCCCTGCATGCAAAAACCCTTCGAAACAGGGCTTGACACACACACACACACACAGGGGATGGGGATATGTCTCAACATCTGCGCAAGATTTTGCAAGGGCACTCTAGCATCTTCGGCTGCGTGCATGCTTTTGTTGCCAATGGCTCTTGATAAACTTTCCTGTCAAAAAACGAAAGAGCACTTCAGTGTCTGGAAGCATCTTCTTGAAATGATTCACCTTGTAACATTGTACATAATTATCTCGGCTATGGTTGGATCTTTCATCTTCAATGTACAGCTTCAAGTCTCTTGTTCAAACAACAGTCCAAAGCGGTGTATGAGAGAGAAGCAACCAAATCGGCCTCATCATGTTGATGAATCCTTCGTTCACATCGTCGAACATAATGGACTCATCGGGCAAGTGAGGTCGAATATCTTCCGAGCCACGGAAGACGTTCTCCAAGTACCTGTCTTGCACAGCACAAGGGAGCATAAATTGATCTGCAAACCGGAAAAGCAAAAACCAAGCCAAAGCGGAAGAATAAGGAACGGGGCAACATGAGGCAACCACATACTTCATAAATGTGTTTCAACAACAGCCTCAAAAGTCTTCTCAGGCTGAGTTGCATCCAGGACTTCTGAACTGACTGAATGGATTCAGTAACTTCTGAAATGTGAGCCAAGGTCTTCTCCCAGTATTCCACCTGGCAGCTTCAACATATGGACTTTTGAGCTTTTACTATTTCCTATTGCCGTGACGTCTTGGCGCCTTTGGCGCGAAAGGCAAATAGAAGGGAGAGCCTCAGATCAAAACCCATTCAGGCTTTTTCGGCCCGACCACTGGACCCAATGGAACATACATGAACATACCATCGTTGGCATATCTGAGGTCTCAACTCTTGTAGGAGGACAAGGCCTGGATGTTCTCATCCAGTGCCTGAAGTCCATGAGCTTTGGAGAAGTCTGCAACAAACCTTCAACAAGTGCTGTGGCTTCCCTTCATGTCAGGTGGTGCAGGATTTCTTCCTTCAGCAGTGTCATTGTTCCAAGTGCTTCATAGTATAAACTTCAACCAAGAACATGGACGCTACTAGGGGCTCCTGGCCGTACTACTAGGGGCAAGGACGCTACTAGGGGCTCCCGGCCATACTAGTAGGAACAAGAAGCTATTAGAAACAAGAATGTGCACTTTTGCCCCCTGGGTGCCTGGTAAAGCTCCTCCGTGCTTCGTACTTTGAACCTGAGTGCAAAGAGACAGGTGCACGGCGCAGTGATGCAAACCGCAGTGTTTAGAGACCAATACTAATTAATCCAATACTGCAATCACACTCATGCAAACTACCAGTAGCATGATCGCAGCTTACCCGGGCTTGGACATCATGATTGGATTTCCTCATCCGGCTGCCTTCGAGAGTCCATTTTAGAAACCATTCGCAGAAACCTGAACATTAATGTGCGCACTGCTTTGTGCTCCCTTTGTTCATCACTGGTCTCATGTGTTCGCCAGTCCACGCGTCTCCCTTGTGCTCCACAACATCGATGGTCATGGTGGACCAAATCCTGGTCACGCCGTGAGAATTTACCAGTACATGGTGCCTCAAAGTGTACGTTATATTCACATTCCATAGCCAACAAAAGATCCTATTAGTTCTCAACCATCCCCATACTCAATGATTCTTTGACTCAGGGCGGCAAAGCTTGTGACTCAACACTCAGGCAGTTTGGGTTGGGTCCAAATTGGCACTCCAGAGTTACCCTGCTCAAAGCTAAACATGGCAAACAGGCCTCCACACCTTTTGCATGTCATGCAGCCCTGGTGCCTGGCAATGTCTTCCAAGCCGTTCTCGATCTTCGCCTCTTTCTTCGCATCGTCACACAATCGAGCAATCAGGTCAGCCTTAGCCAACGTGAATAATTCCGCAAGAATGGTCAAACCATCACAAGTACATTCCGGGAGTATGAAAAAACGATGCCTCTGTTCCACCCGGGTGCATAGTTGCATGCGCAACGGAACCCAAATCAAGCATTTGGTTGGTGTTGCAGGATGCTGCGGGTTTGCAACGAAAGGGTATGTGAAAAAGTGAGGTAGAATCAAGGTTTTGGGCCACAACCAACGAAGGACATGTCGGTGCGGGAAGAAGCCATCGGGTCCAAATTCAATGGGAGGGAGATTGAGATGAAGAGCGACCCCAAGAGTTTGACATGAGAATTGGTCTATTCTTCCATATCATCATCTATAGGAAGAACCTCAAAGTTTCTTACACACAAAACTTGCCAGCAGCAGGGAGAGAAGCATGCTTTTGAAGGCCCAAATCCATGACGCGTTGGAGAGTGAAGCCAGCGTCTTTTGGATTGAATGCCTCCTGAGTCAGGAACAGGGCCTACGCACCCTTAATTGACCGCAAGTTTTGGACAACACTATCGGCTGGTGTCTCTCAAAAAGGGGAACACTGCAAAGACTTCTGGCAATTTTTGACAGCAAAAGAGGGGCGGGCTGACCTGCTTCTTACGCTAAAGGGGCCTTGGAGCTTCCTAAGGCAGCCTGTGTCAGTGATTTGACCGTTGCAGGCCTGACCGGATGTCAAATGCATGGGTCCTATGTAAATGCAGGTGCACGGTCAGATTCAAGACAACCCCCAAACAGAGTGACCTATGGCAACAAGAAAAGTAGTCCAGAACCCATTACTTGGGAGTCCTGATATACATCCACCCACCTTGAAATCTAATGGAACAAACCCACAGTACCGTCCAAAGTGATAAGTTTCCCAAGCAATTTGGTTTACACGTACTACGTACCATTACATTCGTAACATGCATCAGTCTTTTTTTTCGTAACATTTTTTTTTCAATTCATCCTTCGATTCTCCCGCCTTCACTTCTTTCACAATCGCTTCAATATGTCGCTCGCGCATGGCATCAGAACGCAAATGTGTGATGACAGGCATCCTCACATGCAGGTATTGCAAAGAAACAAAACATGTGCGTGGGCCACTCGTGAGAGCAAACTTCTGTAGATAAATCCATCATGTCCAGAGTCTTATATAAATGTAAATGCTACTGTTCAAGCCCCTTGTGGGAAACCCACATAGCTCAGAAGAACCCTGGTAACAGGGACCACAAAATACTACTCAAGTCAATGAAAGCGTCATGTTGCGGAAGACTTCGAGATCAGACTTCAGGTCTTGATATACTTGCCAGTTCTGCACATTCTTGTCCTTTCCAATGACCTGCAAAGAGATAGATGACATGGTATTCGTCAACTCAACCTTTTCTGTTGCACATTCCAGTTCTTAGTTAGTTCTTACTCTTTTTCCCGCAAGCAGCTTTGCTGTGAGGGATTCTCAATTCTTGCTTAGACACGAGCCTGGGCCAAGATGATTTGTTGCCTTTTGTTTCATTTTGTATCCCTGTCTCTCCCATGGCTCTTCTTGGTTGCTGTTTTTTTGGATGCTGGCTGAGATGATTCTACTTTGTCTCCGTGGGTCTACCTTTGTCCTGCATAGTTCTGCTGGTGGTGGGTTGAGATGATTTGCTTGTACCCCTCCCCTTGTCTGTCATGGCTCTTCTTGATGCTGGGCTGAGACGATTTGCTTGTCTCCCTTTGTCGTCATGGCTCTTCTGGATTGTGGGCTGAGATGATTCTGCTCCCTTTGCTTACCTTGTCTGAATGCTGGGCTGAAATGATCACTGCTTTGTCTCCCTTCGTCTCCCGGGGCTCTTGTTCTTGGATCTTCAAACCACATCTTTCATTTTTCAGGTAGGGAATGACCCGGTTTGACAGGTATGCTTTTGGTTGACTGGGGTTGGGCACTGCAACTGCAAGCCACGTTCGCCAAGAATATCAAGCTGCTGCTGCTGCTGTTTGGGGTCGCTGGTCCAGTGTGTTTGCAAAGAATTCAGATGTCCTGTTAGGTGTGGAAACAAATCACTGCGTCTTTGATGCTACCAATCTCCAAGCCTTCCGAAGTTTACCAAGGAATTGCATAGCCAACTCATCCATGTCGTCTGTGTTCCTGAGCAAAGAACAGCAGGGTAAAGTTAAAGAGCAATGCACAGTTCTGTGTCCATCATCGTTTGTCACTTGTCTAAAGTGCAAGGCTGAGACTCAGAGACTGGAAGCTTCCAGATCGAAGTTTGTCCCATTCCTTGTTCCAGCCATCTCGAATGTCCCAAACCATCGTGAGCTTCTCAATCTCCTGTTCCACCCATTCCAACTCCTTGTAGTTGGCTGGCTCTATCCCAAAGAGCTCTTGCTTCGGTCGGAATTCAGCTTCCAGCTTCCTCTTTGCTTCAATCTGGTTACGGTAGTTTTGTAGCATCGAGGCGGCCGTTTCAGGAGTCAGGCCCTCGCTCTTGTATGGTGCGTGGCGGCCGAAATCCTGAGTTTGGAATGCTCCCAGTGGAGTAGAATCACCCATCAAACATAGAATGAGCAAAACAGCAAAACAATCATATTATAGCGACCTATCGCCCCTGTCGGGCCCCTCCGGCTGGATGGATGAACCAAGTCAGCAAACACAGCAGTCTCCATAGACGAACTTCCAAAATGCGCAACTGAATCCCGTCTCGCCCCAAAGGCCAGGCTCCTTGCTGCCTAAGGCTCTGTCTTGACATCCCGGATGCTCTGCCCAAAGCTTCCAAGATCTTGCTCGAGGCCTGCCTTCATCTGCTTCTTGGATTTGCCTCGGCTCAGTTTCAGCGAAGAACCAAGTCCCGGTGGAAGTCAAGAGCACAGGAGCGAGGACGCTACTAGTAGCAAAGGGCATCGCTAGGAGCAAGGGCGCTACTACTAGGAACAAGGACGCTACTAGGAGCAAAGCGCATCGCTAGTAGCTAAACCAGGCCTCATCACAAGAGCATCACATGTCAAGATTCGACAGCGAACTGACATGCCCGAAGCACAGTCAGCATACCGCTGCTACTCCATATACAACTGTAGAGAGTGTAAAGCACGTTCTGATATACCAATTCCCACGTACCCCAAACGTTCCAAGCCACGTTGAGGACATGTATCCAAAGAAGACCATACGCTGAGACAAATGTCTAGATCTTACTCAAACCCAACTATGATGAGTCTCGAGTGAACAGGTTGTTTTGATGAGTTCGGGTTTGGAGCCTTCAGGGCCCTGGTTGTACGGCCCGACCTGATAGGTGCCAATGACTGCCAAGCCCCTAGCCAGTGAGATTTGGAAGCATGATGAGTGAGCTTTCTGCAAATTGCATCGTTTTGAGGAGTAGAAAGTCTTGACATGTCTTGACACCCGCTGTCTGTGTGCAAGGGGCTGATGCGAATCTCTGCTTCTACCAGAGTCTCCTTAGATTTGATATGCTTGGACTGGAACATCTCTAAAGATTCAATCTTTGTTCCTTCTGTCCTGTCGAGTTCCACAACAGTGAGAGGTCAACAAAAGTACAACAGCAATATATATTATATAACTTCTCACACACTTGTTTCTTCATGCTGGCTGGCGGGTACACACGGGCCATCTGGCCAAAAGTGGCTCCCAGGAGCAGGCGTTTAAGCCGCGCGGGAGGGCGCGGTGGGAGGCTTGGAGCCATCAACCGCACATTCGAAGTTACACAGCAACTTCTCACGCACTTGTTTCTTCATGCTGGCTGGCGGGTGCACACGGGCCATCTGGCCAAAAGTGGCTCCTTCACCACCCATCTGCTTCAAATCAGGGCCCAACTCTTTCAGCTCCAAAGCCTTCGCGGCTTGAAACGCCAAAACTGGCCACGCTGCATCCGGAATGGCCGCTGCTCTCCATTCCATACATAGGGCTACAATCCAGTCAAAAACCGCCATGCCGTGCGTGATCTTGTCCTTTGCTTGTTGCGGTAGCTTTGGCATGAACTGTATGGCCCAAGCTTCTTGGACATAGATCTCCATGACTTTTGACGTGACCCAACGGCCACGTCGCCTCGTGAGCTCCGAGTCCTCGCTAACCAACAGGAGCCTCCGGCTCTCAATGAGCCGAGATCAATGCCTCGGCTGACGCCTCTTGGCATCTGATCGCGGGAGTTCGCGACCAGGAGCTTTTGTCACCTCAGTCTCTTCGTCTGGGCTGAAGCTGGGCAGAGCCTCTGATCGGGCCTCAGGTGGCCAAATGCCAAGGCTGCCAAGGTGACCGCCCTCAACAACTGTGGCTGATCCAGCCGGGCCACCTGGTGGCGTGCTGCTTTGTACCTTGTCTTGGGTTCAGCTATCTGCAGGAGGGCATAGTTGGTCGTCCACTCAACGTCCTGCGGCAGGACCAAGTCCCGGCGGAACGAAGAAAGGGCTTCTCCGATTCGGGTGAGTCCACCCCATGAAAGGGCTATCACTCCAGCTACCCGACTCCACCCCCACATCAGTGAGGTGGAGATGAGGCTCAAAAGAGCCTGCCATGGTAGTGCCAGGTGGTGAGGTGGCTCTTGCCTCAGCCACGTGTACGCCAGATGGCTGCAAGGAGGCGAACGCGGGGCCTCTTTGCAGCGACTCCGTTGATGAGCTCACTGTAATGTCCATATGGACGCCCTGCTCGGTACAGCTCACGGCCGAACTTTTCCAACATAATGTTGATCATTTCCACATCAGGGTCCACGACCATGACCAACTCCTCAAAAGAAATACCATGGCCTCCAAGCCAAAGTGTAAAATCTTCGAGAAGCCGGTTCTGTTTCTGAGTGGCAGGCAGGGCTGGTCTTCCTTTAGGCAGCTCGAGGCTATCACGTCCCTGGGCTCGCACCCGGTCAGCTTGATTCCTTGGAATCAATCCAATGCCATGACTCGGTACGGGCGCCGCGGTGACTTGGGGTAGTGCCATACCAACCCAAAAAAAGACCAAAATCTTGAGGGGACCGCCGAAGGGCCAGGGCACACATGGTGTGCACCGGCCGTCCCTTCTTCAGAGCAAGAGCCTGAAAACCATGATGTGGTGCAATGCCTTGGCCATGAAATCCATCGAGCAACAGCGCGCAGAGAAAGGTGCAGGCAAGGAAAAAGCCAAAAGCAAAAGCGACAGCCAGGCATCAATCCATAACAGAAATCCGAACAGCCCAAGTCCAGGGCCCTCTCCGGGGAATCCAAAGGTCTGGTCAAAGTACATTGAAGTCCAAGCTCCTTGGCGTGCCAAGCCAGAAGGATAACTTCTGTAGTTCACATGTGAGAAGCGCCAAGACGAGACATCGTTGAACCAGGGAGGGACCCTCCTAAGCAGAAGCATCAGAAGCCTGACCCAGTTCGATGCAAAACGCTTCAATGCCCTGACACGGCCGAAACCCAAGAGATCATTGAGAGCGCTTTCCTCAGGCACACAGCTACTGCAAGGTTCAGGAAGCTCATTGTCTCGGGTGGGATGATCAGCAGGTAGAATCGGGGTAGGCCCGAAATGAAGGGAAGGATACTGCAGCCGGAAGGATACAAGCAGCCTGCAATCAAAGTAGCTCCTGCCCTTCTCAGACACTTCCTCAAGCCTTTTGAAGGAGATCTGCCCTTCACCAACGCGGAGAGGCTGACATTGGAATCCATGAAGAGAGGAAACCTTGTCTTTGGTCTTGAAGCTGCCTCTTGCTTGAACAATCTCTCTGCAGCCATCGTCTCTTGGATGTTGATGTGTGCTGGTTTCTGCCACCTCCACACTTGCTCAAGCTTCCACTGCCGAGAGAGGATAACATCGTTAACCAAGACATTCTCAAGGCCATCCACCTCCAAATCTTTGTACATCTCAGTCCTCAGCTTGAGGTTCAAAGCTTGATGGAATGCCTCGCTTAAACCTTCAGCGAATGCGTCAGTATATGTAGCGGAAGTCCCTGGATGGGAATATGATCACGCAGACCATCGCGCTTGTGGTGTAGCTTCTCAGCCTGCATCGAGACCAGCAGGAACACAAACTCCTTTTTGCGTGGAGAGCCGTACATGCATGAGGCCGTCCAAACTTCGTGCGCCCGGCCCAAATCAAGCAGTCTCTGCCACTCCTCAAGCCTGCGCATCTTTGATCTCCTGGGTTGTTCAAGCAGTCCTGGAACACTAAGCTGTGCAGCCAGAGACATCAAGGTTAATGCCCTTAGTGCAAGAGTGGTTCCCAGCAAAGTCTTTGGATCACTGGGGTCGAAGAGCAGGGCTGAATGTAGTGCATGGAGGCTCAACCATGAAGGAGTCAAGTCTACCATCTTCAATCATGAAGAAGATCCATGGAAGCAACCTGAGGCTAGCCAAATCATAACGAGGCGACCGGTCAATGTCAAGGACAGGTCCCACGGTCCATCCTCTTGAAGAGAGCCCTGCAGCAACGTTTCCAGCTCCACCACAGATCTCGACGAAGTGGAACCTGAATGCTCTTGGCCTTTCAGCAAGAAACTGCATGTCTGGGTGCTCTTCTTCCTCCTCGTAGTCATAGTCTATCTTTTTGAGAATAGCCTCATGACGGCTGAGCATCCTCGTGTAGGTTGCTTTCTTTCTTCCAGTTCTTGTCAGAGCGCGTGCCCAATCCTCTTCCAGCTCACAGGATACAATGGCCCCCTTGCTGTCGGAGGAGTCTGTGCAGAAGCATCTATGCTGGACTTTTGCTGACAGATCCGTAGCAAAGAATGGGCATAGAACAGGCAGCATGACCAACTCCTCTGCGACCCCACGACTAAGAGGAACGATGCGAGGTGAGTCCTGAGCAACTTCTGAAGGGGCATTCCGAAACAGCGCTGCGCTATGCTCATAGCCGGTCTGCGGTAGAGGAGAGCATGAACCCACCCTCCAAGAAGGCAAGCGTGAAGAGCATCTGTAGTCCATTTGCTGGTGCTCAGTGCCGAAGAAATGAAAGCAAGCGCAAGCCTCTTCTGAGCAGGAGCTGCCACTGTAGTCAGTCCAAGGTTCCGGGTACATGAACTTGAATCAAACTCTGCTCCACTGACCTTTGCTTTGCAAGCGTCACGCACATCCTTCTGCGGTGACCCAAGGAGGCCCTCCGCCTCATAAGCAGCCTGAGCTTTGACCAACTGAGCAACTGCCAAAGGGCGATCATGTAGAAGGTCTTCTCCTGGAGAATGAGCAGGCAAACTTGCTTTCTCTATCGAGATGGCGTAGAAGTCATCTATAACTAGTCCTGTGGCAAGGTCACGGCCTCGGAAGGGGCTGCCAGCGCGGAGTTCATTGTCGTTGGCTAACAAATCCCAGCTCCTGAGGAAGTTCCGATGACCCTCTGTAGCAACCTCCACGCCCAAATGATCTCCTTGAGGCACACTGGCAAAGCAGGCTTGTAAAGTCTCCCTGGTCATGCGTTTTGAGCTGGGCTTCTTTCCACCTGTCCTCAGGAAGTCACCCTGTAGGAGTCTGTCATACTTTTTCTTGCCACCATCACGGATGACCCATCTCTTAGTCTTGAAGGCTTCCGTCCCCTCGACGTCGGAGACATTGAGCGGGCCACAAGCCATTCGAGGCGGCTCTCTGTGGGGAAACCTGAATCTGATGGTAGAAGTCCTTGCGATCTGAGCAACATATAGACAATCTCTGCAGAGGCACGTCAACTTCCAAGTCCATGAAGCTCTGAGCCGAGGGCAAGCCAGCAGATACTGCCGCCAATCTTCCTTCAACATAGTTGCGAGCCCGACGGTCTCCGATCATACGGTCGACCTCACTGTTCTTGTAATGATTGAAGAAGCGCGTGGCATGTGAAGCATCAAACCGGCTCTCTGTAGGCGATCGCAATGACAATAGCCCATTCGCATCCCAAAGAAGGGCAAGCTCCTTCACCTTTGCGTAATTCTCACGTCCAAGATCAGGTCGATCTTGAAGCCTCCTCTGTAGAAGTCCAGAGTAGGCTATCTGGCTCAACAAAAGCAAGCCACAGCATGTCCGATAGGTAGCTCTCTGGGTTCCAAGATGCAGTATCCGAGAGCTTCAGTCTTGAAGGGTCCAAAGCACGGTAGGGCTGGAGTTCCTCAGCCCTAGTCATGTCTCGAGGGACTTCTTTCCCAACAAAACCTTCCTCTGCACCTTGAAAGGCACGGGTATAGGCCTCACCACCTCCAAGCCCCTCCCACGTAGCAAAATCGGAGAGGTCAGCAAGCAGCGAAGTCAAAGTAGTCATTCTACGGCCGCTCTGTGGAATTTTGAAAGATTCTCCAGAGCTACCGAAGGCCTTCAACATCTTTCTCAGATTGTCCATAGCCACCAACTGAGTGTCGAAGAAGGAATCCTGCATAGTGACTCAACAGGAATAGGCGAGAAGTCGGAGTGGAGGAAGTTCAAGGCCATCAAACAAATGTGAAGTGCCTGATCAAAAGCCCTCCTCCTCCGAGCTCTGCTGCCCATCTTCTTTGCTTGAAAAACACCCAGCTTTGGTATAGGCAATGGGAACAAAGCCTTTGAAGGAGAATCGAGCCTCCTTTCAGCATGAAGAGTAGTCCTCAAGAACCTCGCAAAGGATGTCCTTGACTTCAGCACACAAGAGCAGAGTGAAGACGACCACGTATGGAATAGGTCGCCTCTCCCAAGCCATTGCTGTAGAAGATGTAAAGGGCGCTGATCCATCAAACCAATCTGTACCACGACCATCATCGACATCTGCAGGGCCCCGGCAGAGCGAAGCTCCGGAACAAAGGGCTGTGCTGGAATCGTAGTGCGTGTCGTACTGCCCAGCAGGTATAGTTCATCAACATCCATCACAAAGATCTCCTCTTGTTCGAGGGGTTCATTCATGAGGCTTGATCCCCACCTTGCTTCGGTTTCTTCGGAAGCTTGGGCTGCCTTTTCTTTGGGTTGTCTGCTGTCTGCTGAGGATCCTTCGGAGTAGCTATTCGTGAGGGAATTGCCTCTTGCCTTCGATTGTTGATGATGTCGATCTCCTTGACAAAAGATAGGGCGATGGTTGCCCATTCCGGCGGGCACAGAGGTCCAGCCCGGAGTCGAGGATTTGTTGAAGTCAAGGCCTTCCTCTCCAGGTACTTCGAGAAGACTGCCTTGCCCCCAAAGTCTTCGATGGTCTTCGGAAGAGGGTCGGTGGGCTTCAATCTTCGAAAAGCATTCTGAGCAACCTTCAGTCAACAAGAAGTTCCCCTTTCTGAGAAACAGGTCGTGGAAGAGCTTCTCTCGCTTTGCAGAACCCTTCAGGGAGAGGGCCGTCGACGAGCTTGCCGTAGTAAGATCCTGCAGGCTGTCTTGTCCAACAAGATGTGCCACCAGAGTTGTCAGAGCTTGTGACTGTCTCATGATAGCTTCTGGCATTCCTTGAGGCACGGCATCGGAGGGAGCTGCAGCCAGCTGTAGCGGAAGGCCTTGCTTGATCTTGAAGGTGCCGTACTCGAGGCGGGCTTCCTATCTCTTGCATGAACTGCAGAGTCAGAGGTGAGGTTCTCTTCAAAGCCGATGGTCTTTCGAAGTTCTGACGATATGCTGGAGTCGGCGCAGCCGGTTGATTGCCACCTGAGGTCAACAAAGCTTCGACCTTGTTCTGCCTCGGCCATAGCATCGAGACGAGTTGAAATAGCCGGGGGCAGCAGGCGGTTGGGTCGGCTCCTCTGCAGAGTAGAACTGTGTCCGGCCCTCGGCCCCCTCTTCCAACCAAGTGTAAGCCGCTAGCAGCAGGGAACTCGATTCGGGCAACACACCGGACCTGAAGGCGAGAAAAGCAGGATCCCTGGCTTCTGTCACAGGGTCGAAGCCTCTGACATAGTCCTCGATGGAGATATGGAAGTCCACTAGCAGCACCTCCATGTCCTGATCGGTAGGTGTTTCCGTGCCATCTGCTTCCTCCAACACAACTGGAACAGTCACCAGGTTCGAAGGGCCTATCAAGTCCTCTGGTGAGGCTGTCATGCCTGCAAGAAGCATTGGTTCCGGAATCGCTCCTGAAGGTAGTGCAAACAAGGCGCAGGTGCGGCGATGCATCAAAGGGATTGCAAACATCTCCTGAGGAACTGGAGCCGCAGCGCTGCCCACGTTGAGAGTCAGCACATGAACCATGTACACCCTCCATCCAAAGACTTCACATTGTCCGCCATCACTGTCGATCCGAGGGTTCAGGAAAACTGTAGCCAGCTGCAAGGCAGTAGACTTGTGCTTCACACTGTGATGGGAAGGAATGACTGACAGAATCCTTGAACTTGGGCAGGAGCTTGAAGTACTCTGCGGCAGAGCTGACCCTGACAGGACGAGTGATTCCGGGTCCCTTGAGGATGATGTACACGGTGGCCTGAAGTCCAAGCTTATCAAGCTTTGGCGAAGGCCGGGGCTTTGAGACTCTTCCGTCCAGCGTAGCTCGTGCCCAGCAACCTGCCAACCAAGCCCGGGATGCTCTGGAGCGCACCTCCTCAGGAGTGCCAGAAAGCCGACGGCACAGATCCACACAATGCTCAGGAAGAGTCGGGAAGCTATTGGAGACCTCGTGGTAGCCACCTGACACAAGGGCCGAAGGCCCAGGAAGATCACGTACAAGATGTCCTGCGAGAGAATCCAAATGGGTGATCAGGTCCCAATCCACAGTATTAACTGTGTCGGATGAGATGGCAGGAGTGCCAGAGACAGGACGACCCTCAGCCCGATCAGCGGCCTGGTCCAGAGATGCAGCAAGGCCACGAAGAGCACGAGCAACACCACGCACAGCCTCAATCAAGATGATGGTGGTGGTGGGAGCGCTCATGCAGGTACGCCTGGAGGCGTGCCAAGGGAGCAGGAGAGCTAGATCGATGAAGTGGAGGTGCCACAGGAGATGTGACTTGACCTGAAATCCAAGAGAGCCAGGCAAACAAACCAATGGCCAAAAGTCCACCAGTCGAAAGGCCTGCAAGGAAAATGGCAAGCAAATACGGCCACGAAGCGCCGCAATGAGCCGGACAGGAAAGTCCAAGCCAACCAGTGGCACTACCCCAACTCACAAATCGGATCAGATCTCCGATCCAAGGAGGCATACAGGCTTGGAGCCATCAACCGCACATTCGAAGTTACACAGCATATGTATATATATATATATTGTATGTATATATGTCACTGTGGAGCAAAACAACTTCTAGGTTGGAGGCGATTGCTCTTAGGTTGGAGGCGATCGCTACTAGGGTGGAGGCCATTGCTTCTAGATCTTTCCTTATTCTTCTTTATTAAGTAGCTTCTTGCTCCTAGTAGTAAGGCCAGGAGCCCCTAGTAGCGTCCTTGCTCCTATTAGCGATGCCAGGAGCCCCTAGTAGCTTCTTTAAGTTTGTGGAGAAACTAAACTCCAAGTCTCCCGGAAGGTCTCCATCTGTGGCCGCATTTGTGCCTTCCGCTGCAGTTCCTCATCAGAGGGCACCACCTGTCCAACTGGACGCTGACACCCGGAAATCGCGAGGCCTGGTGAGCCTACTCCCCGCACAAAATTGATGTCCCAGAAAAGTGAAAAAATGATGATTTCAGCAAATGGTGAGACATTTTGCATAAAAGGGCTATTTGTTGGTGGAAGCAACGCTGTAAAGGGTATGAGTCCAAGGCCTCTGATCCAAAGCCTAAGGTCTCGTGGAGGACTGGCCTCCCCCACCCCAGGGGCCGCAAGAGTCTGGGAACTTGGTGTGGCCCTTTCAAGGCTTCACCATACGTCGTGCCGTACGTGTGAGGTTGATTCAATATTGATGAAGTAGTGCAATTTTGTGGCAAAGAATTTGCCGAGGGTGGTGGTGATACATTGTTGAGTGAAGTCCTGATTGCTGACCTGTCCAATCAACCCATCCATTTGTGCAAAGGGGGGCAACTTGTTGGTGCTATATGGTTCGAAGCCAACCACCTTCTTCTCTGACAAGCAGGTTGCCATCATCGCAAAACCCTATAAAATTTGTGGATATAGAGCGAAAATCACTATTTTTGGGTGCGTTCAGTGGTTGAGAACAAGCTCAAATGTGGCTTACAAAGAAGGTTGATCTGTTTGAAATTGATGCCTACCCAAGGGTGATACAAACATTGGGAGTGAACACCATTCTCATCCAATGTCTGGCTCCGTTGAACACGATGCTGAGTGGAGCCATTCATTTAGAAGGAGTCGGAATTATTGGACTGGTGACTAGTGATTGACCTCTCTATCAGTGCGAGATTCAGATCAATCTGATTGCGACGATGAACCTTCCATGCCAATCATGGTCTAAGGCAAACTTAAACCAAAAATGGCTGGGCATTCAGTGATGAGCCGGTGAACCGATCTTAGCTTTTGGTTGTGATGAACGGGAATCAGAAGAATCTCACTGCTCTTCACCTAACCCCAAAACCACCAGCAGAAAACCTTATCGACAAAATGATTTGTTTCCAGCTCCCGAAGGGGGTCCCTTATCAACATCCCATACTAGCTTTTTGTTACTACTAGTAACAGGTGCCACGCTAGTAGTAACAAGTGCCTTACTACTAGTAACAAAAAAGCTATTAGAATAGAAATAAAAACAATTAAATGGTTTCTACTAGCTTTTTGTTACTACTAGTAAGGCACCTGTTACTACTAGTAAGGCACTTGTTTCTACTAGCTTTTTGTTACATAAACATCCCATTCATGACCCCACAAACTACATAATTTGGCCGCATCCCAGTGGGGAAAAAACACCTATCCTTCTTTCCCTCTCGTTATCCTTCCTGATCGATTCTTCAACCGCATATATAGGTCCTTTTCTTCATGTTCTCATGCTTTATGTTTTCCGAATCTTCTGAGCTTCATCAAGCTCCTCCAACAAACCCTTATGCATTTACTTTCTCTTCCTCATGCCTGTCAGCTTCATCAAACTCATCCCCACTCCAAGAAATCTGAGGGATTCACCTTCCTTTCATCCCTCCACTAGTCATCATTATTCCTCATTTGCCCCTCATGCTCTTGCAATTCCTTCCTGATGCACTGCAATACATATAGCATACGTTGATCTCACAAACAGCATCTTTGCAACAGGAAGCCTAACATGAAGCGAGTAGTCTGTGGGCTCCCTCCTCATGAAGAGATTTAATACGATCTAATCTTGGGGATCTCTCCAAATGATAAGGATTCGTCTTTGGGAATCCTCCTCGTCATGAATGAATTCAGTCTTGGGGATCTCGGATCTCCTTATGAAGAGACTTAATCTTTTGGATCCCTCCTCCAAATTAATTGGGGGCAGTTCAGATCGACCATCATTATTTTGTTCCCACACCTTGTGACCTTCTAGGGAGAGCGGAGGTTGTTCACATTATCCATCTCAACACTTTGTTCAATCTGAAATGCAGCATGGCATTCTTGCCTTTTTTGACAAGGCACCAACCGGTTTCGTCTTTTTGGTGCTGCCAGTAAGCAAACTCCTATCCAATCTTATCGAACTGGTCGTAGTCAAATGTGTGGCCAAAGTGAAACGAAATCAGCACTGCAATGAATCTAGGAACATCTAGGAACTAAATGAATAGTGCGTGAGCTATCCTGCGTCCAGTAGCTAGTAGCTCACTTAAGCTACTAGCCTTACTTAATTGAGTAGGCGCCTACTTAATTGTATAAGTAAGGGCGAGCTTAAGGCTTAAGACAAAAAAGACACACAATAAGAAGAACACAAATAAATATAAGACAATACAACGAGACCGGAGCCAGGCCTCAAATTCAGTAAGCTTCAAGTACTTATCCTCAGCATTCATTGGCCAAAGTACAAACACTGTTGGTGAGGACCGCTGGACTGTTGCATAAAGCATTCTTGGACACAGCTTTGTGCTTTAGTATCATGCGACTGGAACAAATTGTCCATGGATGTGACCTAGTCATACCGAGTCATACCTAGGACCTAGTTGCTCAACGTATCTCAACGTGCTGTACTAGGCTAGTGCTAGCCTTCGGGATCCTTCGAGCCACATAGAGCTTACACTGGGCCTAGCGTCCTCAATGGGCTTGATCTTGTTCTCCATTTCTGCATCATCCTTGCGGCACTGCTCCAATAAGGCGATGCGATTCTTGAGTTCGTCCATGTCACTGATCTCGGAGTGGAAGGTCTTCGTGTTGCTATCAAAGTACTCCAAGAGTCGGTTCCTGGGCAATTCAGTGGCGCATCCTAGACAAACTCAGCAGGGCTATTGGATCCTGGAAGGGAAAGCACGCGCCCGCTTTCCTGGCTTTTGGTCAAATCGATTTCGACAAATGCTCCTCGTCTGACGCTGAATTTCTCATGTTGAAGTTCCCCGCTTCATCGTGTTTGATGCGGCATCTCAACATAGCGAGCGCGACTTTGTGGAACAAACTTCAACATTGCGGGTTGTATATTTAAGAGGTGTAAGTTTCGGTTCCGATGTTTGCCTGTAGCAGAACAAGGTAGATCTCCAAATCTCAGGTAGCTTATTCATTACAATGCTCCTGAAGCTTCCCTGAGCAGGTAGATTTTGCCAGGGTCAGTTTGACAAGGATCATCTCTGTTCGCGCGTTCTCGTTCAGGAGATCTGTCAGCTTTTTCTGCCACTGTTGGCAGTGATCCACCAGTGCATTCTTCAGCGGTTGAAAGTCAGTCTCGATGAAATCAATGACCACCTGTCACTGTTCACTCCCACTGCATTGTTGTTGCGTACAAGTGTGTAATGGAAGCATGTGAATTGAGCTAAATATATCTACCACAGCCCCAGCCGTTTGTAGTTTGAGTCACCACGACTGCCGAACACAAAGCCTAAGGGGAAGGGACTTACCGTTCCGATGCCCCTCCAATGAATGAAAGGGCATTGCACGGTTCAAAGGCAGGGACTTGGACATGCTCGAAGGCTTCGATTAACTGAACTTGCATCGCATTTGGATTTGCAAAGCATAGCTGTCGCTATAATTTGTCCAACAAATCTAGGTACATAATCTCTTGAATACAGAGTGACTTCCTGAGTTGTGTGCCTTGGTTCTCTTGAGCTGGCCTCCTATTTGATTGTTCCTGTGTGGGATTCAACAAAAGTGGGGGGAACCAAAGCTTGAGATTCTTAGGAACAAGGACGCTACTAGGGGCTCCTGGCCTTACTACTAGTAACAAGAAGCTACTAGGAGCAAGAAACTTCAAGGTTGGAGGCAAGAAGCTTCAATGTGTTACAATGTGTCTGCCTGTTTCCCCCAGCCACGGCCATTGAGTGGGTGCCTTGGGCTCCTCCTGCTGGATGTCACTCTGTACGTCCTTGTAGCGCTGGATGTCTTGCCCAACGATCGTCAGGGATCGCTCAGTCTTCCTCGAACATCACACAGGAAGACTGAACTTCTCAATCACTATTCACTCTGAGGATGACAACGAACACATGCCACCGAAACTGATCAAAGCGGACGCAGAACATTTCAGTGGTTCAGAAATCTTAAGGAAGCTCCATGCGGCCAGCCAAAGAGTGAGAGATTGAAGAAGTAATTGCAAAAACTGAGAACAATCCTGCATTTTTTTTGCCTATGTATATCTAGCTGCTAGCTACGTCCATTTAAACAGGTTTGGTTTTCCTCTTTCATTGTCGGACTTTAAAAAACGGATGTCATTGGACTGAACAAGACAACTTCACTTGACATCCAAGTACAAGTATACAAAAGTACAAAGTCAAGTGGCTTGTAACGCCTGATGAACGTATCCTTGTCTGAAGACACGATCGGCTGGTAGGAGCTGTTCCTCAAGAGTAGAAATGGCTCCCAGAGGCCGTGACCACGACTGGGCTGTGCTCAACCAAAGGTCTTGGGAGATTGCGGAACCCTAGGAAGTCTTGCTTGCAGCAGAACCATTGTCAGCCAAACAGCTTGGGCAAGCAACAAATATGATTAGAACATCTTAGAATCTACTATATAGAACTCTATGATATATGGCCGCCAAATTTGCCAAAGGTCCAAAACTTCAGCCGCTCTCCCAAACGCATGGCGCAGTGGTTGAAGCCTCGCAGCACCTCCTTGACGTACTTAAGGCAACAGTCCTCGTGAGTTTGGCCGACACGCGATCAACAGTTGATCAACACTGATGAACTTCAAATTGTGAGCCTAGCAGGGTGTTGCTGTCTGACATTTGAAGTCAAGTTGAGTACAAAGTGCATAAACTCAACAGCTAATGTTGTCCTCATCCTTGGAGATTTCCTGCAAGCAGAGTCGCATGCAGCAAGCAAATTATTCGATATAATTTTCTGTTTGGAATGGGAAACAAGACTAAGACCTACTGTAAGAAAGTAAGTACCTAGTGCAATCTTAGTTCAGCTTTTTGCACCTCAAAGAAGCCCTTCTTCTTCTTAGGCGGGTCACCTGCACTCACAAGAATGAAGCGACCGGCAGCAATAACAGCAGGATGAACAGTTGAGGGGCAGAAGCTCGACTGATACAGGCCACAGCATGTCCGGTCTGAAGTGCACCTGGTGGCGGGATAGCGTTGGCACCAGCCAAATCTCCAGCTTCCTCAAGCTGCTGCTTCTTGATCCTTGCATACAAATGCAAAACTTCCAAAAGTCACCAGCATACAGTGGCGCAAACGTGATTTGAACCTGTATATACATGTATAATTGCTCAACTAAACACAGAACTCTGCTGTGTGCTTTGCCTCTCTTGTTGATTGCAAGAGTCTGGTCTAAAGCCCTAGATTGGTCATTGAAAGACCTTGCAGGATCCCTGTTGATGTCTCAAATCATGGAGACTTCCCAGCTTTAGCGTCCAGGCCTTTCAATCTTCACTTGTGTTTAAGAAGATACACCGAACCCAACCACCGCCCCCAAAAAATATTGAGATTTTTTTCTGGAGTGTGTGTGTGTGTGTATTCTTTTTCTGGAGTGTCTTTTTCTCTATCTGCCGTCGGCGGGTCATTGACCTGTCAGAGCTTCTGGGTCCCTGTATGTGTGGAATGTATGAATGTCCGTCTGTCTGTCTGCATGCAGCATAAAATAAACTGCAAAGTCAAGCCACCGATCCCTCTCGGTCTTGACAGCATAGAGGTGCTCTGCCAATCTGCACACCGCTTCGGTGAGTCAATTTCAGGTGACTTTCCTAAGGCAAAGCCTTCTCAAATGAAGCACCACTTTCGCACATGAGAGACGAATTCCTCTATGCCTTTAAACATGTATTTTTTTAACGGGGCCTCACTGATCATGTCACAGGTCACAAGGTTTGGAAGTCTACCAGGCATTTCTTGTTGGATTCAAGCAGCAACATCTTGAACAGGTTTTCCTGTTGACTCATTCGTGCACACCAACCGCCCTACAGACTATACATCTCTCTCCCAACAAAAACTGTCCATACCTACCCCGTTGGTGCAAGTCTGGCGTGGCCTCGGAACCACTGACAGTGTCATTGTCATGTCACCTGGCCAGCGGGAGAACTCACAAAATGTCCCACAGCATCACGCACATACATCGGAGATGACACATATATCAAAAACTCAAAACACACACACACACAAATTCATCTTCACGCACTTGTCTGTTTGAAGACGTGGCCAGGTTCACGGCACACCATCTGCAATAAGTCTTTGAGCTGTGCCATTGGTGGTTTGAAGTCCATCTTTGACTCCTCGAGTCGAGTGGGGTGGGCTGCACACTCTGGGACAAGATGGTTGCTGCACCAAACAAAATGCAAGATAATGCAAGTCTCATCATGAATCAATCCAAGTCTCGTCCAGAACAGCCTGAATCTTGAAGAGTGGAGATGGTTCTGTTTTGGTGTCACCTAAGAACAAGCTGGTGGTTGCCTGTCAAGCAACGCCCACATTTATGCGCTACATAGGCTCATACCATATCCAAGCATGCTGGACTTCTTGGGTAACCACCATTCAAAGCTTTGCAAAGATCTTGCAAGCTGGTCTTCACAGCCTGCAAAGTAGGGCGATGAGCTCTCACTCATACTTCTTGTGTGAAACGTGCAGCTCAAGGCGCCTTCTTCAAAGACTCCTTGATGCTCTTGTCAACCTGTTGGAAACAAAAGGTCACTGCACAACAACTCACCCAGGTCCTGGGGATTTGACACGAGCCCAATCTTGATACATCCACAATAGTACTGGAGGATATATAACGGAAACAAGGCTGCTGTTGTTGTAACGCATGGCATAGATTAGACCCGTAAGACGTAAGATAATATGATCGGGAGCAGCGGATTATTGACAGCAATCCTCTAAAAACTGATTCTTGCACCTTGTCTATGTAGGTCTTCCATTCTCGCTGAATGTCCGGAGGATGCGACTCGAAAAATGTGTAGGAACTCAGCATCAGCTCAGTGATCTTGTGCAAGGACTGACAGGGCAAGGCAAGTTGCAACACTTGACCAGAAAAGGCATCAAACTGATCTATTCTCTTTCGCACTGTCAGGTTGTTGGTGTTGCATTGCTATGTAAAACTTGCACGGTCCAATGTCCTACAGGAATTTGGACTGAACACAAAAACTCACCTGTCACCTGCCTTGTTGAACTCAGCCTTCACCTCTTCTCGCCGTCTCTCCTGGTGCGAAAGCCAATGGATGCTCTTTTTCTCGTGACACATCAACTTGCTGCATGCAAATGACATCTTGCTAGAGTCTCCACGAGAGTGTAAACCAATCATCTGCCAATCACCAAAGATTTCTCAATTACTAGAGGACTCACTAAATCTTGCAATCAAATTCATTGCAACAAAAACACCAAAAAGCCTTGCTCTGCAGGCCGCTCCTGCACGTCGCGGAACTCATCATCCCGATGCACTGTCTTCTTTTCAATCTTGATCATGTGTAGCTCTGACAGCTTCTTGCAGACCTGGGGCTAAGTAGGACATGCTTGCAATTCACACGTGAACGCTGCAAGTGTTGGCCGAGTAAGAACTCGCTGAGTCTTCGGCGCCGAAACTTGTTGCGAACAAAAGCAATATTATGCGTAGAAACAAGGAGCTTCTAGTAACAGGTGCATCGCTAGTAGTAACAGGTGCCTTACTAGGTAACAAGAAGCTAGTAGAAACAAGAATTAGGAATTATTGCCACTGCGCCACTGTTTCTGTGCTGAGCACTCTTTCGTTCCGAAGTCTTGGACTGAACTCCCTCCAACAAGAACCTCCATAAGCTTTACATAACACCGGAACCAGCTGGTATGGTTTGTGCTAGCTACTAGCCTTTTCCGAGTACACTTGTTCTGCTCATCTTCGTTGCAAAAAGGCATCTGCCTGAAGAATCTCTGTGTTGTTCCTCTTGAACTGCTTCACCCAGTCATAGACTTTGGCACACTCCTTTCAAGCATGTCAGGCTTGTGCAAGCCGTACGCCAGTGACTTTCAATTTTCCACTTCTTAACTTCACTGGGACCAACGTCTTAAAGGGAATCTCAACGTGTTTACTGTTTATAAGCAGAGTGTCTATAATTGTCTACAAACAGCGCATGACGCGAGATCTGATGATGTTGCTGGTAAGCATTCTGACTGTCCTTGCAGCTGTCCCGAACAAAGAACTCTTTGATGCCATCCGAAGTCCAATTGAACCTTGCTTTACACCAAGGAGACTAAATGCACCCATTTTCAAGCTGTTGGTGTGAATTCTATTTAAAGAGTAACTCAATGTTCCATCATTTTCATTTCTAATCCAACTTCTAACAGCTACAAGTTCCTCTGTCAAGTGGCTTTGTCAGGCCAGGTCCAATCTTTCGGTCCAGCGTTCGAATATGATGGTTGAAGAGGCGCCTTAGCTGGCGGTTTCTGTGGCAGATCGCGGAGATGCCAGGAGCCCCTAGTAGCTTCTTGTTACTAGTAGCTTCTTGCTCCTAGTAGTAAGGCCAGGAGCCCCTAGTAGCGTCCTTGCTCCTAGTAGCGATGCCAGGAGCCCCTAGTAGCTTCTTGCAAGTACGACTTATGAGGTACTTTAGTATAGTTTAGGTTGTCTTGCCACACCGGATTGAATCAAAGGAGCCTTTCCTCGGGCAACAGTGCTGACCTTGGAGATGCAGTCAATCGTTGATGGTAGAACTTGCTTCCAAACCATGTGAACTCAACTATATAACTCAACGAGTATTTTCTATCGTTGAAGCTGGCAGCATAATCTGATTGTAGTCCCTGACCTTGGTGGTGCAAGGGTGAATGCAACTTCTACTGCAATTTTCTGCTGAGGCTTGACCGATCCTTTGCACGTGCATAAGGGTGAGCGGATGAGCCAAAAGGAGTCAACACAAACTCTTCATATCCTTGTGGTTTCTTGCGCTTCTGGCATAGGTATCAACAGTGAACCGTCGAAGGCATACCAAGAGGAATCTCGCCAGGCCACAACACGTAGGACATGCTCACGGAGAACACGGAGCTTGTCCCGATGTCCTGCCAGTTCATGAGCAGCGTATGGCACGACCTTGCAAAATCAAGCACACATCATATCGGCCTCATCTACTTCTGAAACAACTCTCAAGCAATCCATCTCATGATGACTGACAGTCACGCTATATCTCGCAAAGGTGAAAATCACACCAATTTCCCGACATCAGCTCGTTGTTGTCAGTTGCTACCAAATGAGCACCATGCAATACCACTGCCCTGGATCTTCTCCCAGTAGTACACCTGGCAAAGACTTTCACAATTCGCACATTTGCGCAATCGGCAAACTGTCACTGTATCATGCATCATGGTTTGTCATGGCTTATATATCTGACCTCTTGGAACATCTTCAAGAGCTCCTTGTCGAAGTTGCACTCCAAAAGGCCTCCCTTGAACTTGCTGCTGACTGTCTCCTTCAATCTCGAGATGACAACAACATACGTGGTTTGGTGGGATCACACCACCATCACCATGGACCCTTGATTGATTGTTTTGGCGTACATGAATCACAAAGTGACAGGGAACATTTGAAAGGAGCAAATTTAAATTTACTACTAGTAATTTAATTTAGTTTATTGTTACTACTAGCGTGGCACTTGTTACTAGGAGCCTGATGTTAACAAGAGGCAACTGGTCCTCTGGCTTAACGAGCAAGTTCACCTGTGGACTGAATGCAACCAATGTCATAAGGATCAATCTCTGCATTTCATTGATTTTCATTGTATATACAATCCAGTGGTGCCACAAGTGTTCACAAATCAGCGACACTTGAGGCCTGCAACCGCTTGGGCAGGTTCTGGTCGTCCATACCTGAGTGGAGATGGTACCCCCACACTTCTGAAGCTAAGCACTCTCCAAACAACGAATGGTTCCTATCACACGGCTTCCATAATGTTTCTACCTTTGCTTCTCGATTCGCAAAGACATACAAAAGTGATCGGCAGTACCAAGTGGCCCTTGAGCTCCTGCACCCAGTCTTGGAAGTTCGTGAGAACGAAAGTCTGTCCAGGCATGATGCAAACAAAAAGCCAAGTCTTAGGGCCGAAGGCTGTCTCCAACCTAAGAGCGATGGCCTCCAACCTAACAGCGATGGGCTCCATCCTACTAGCGATGACCTCCAACCTAATAGCTCTAATGACAGACAAGAATATGCTTGGTACATCTTTATACCAGCATTCCACAGCACAACATTCTCTAACAAACAGAGAGGCAGAATTCACAATTTCTAAGAGCAATTGGGACAAATCCGCCTCCATGTTTCCATGCAAGGTATTGAAGGTGTCTCGACAGTTCTCCTGCTCTCTGCCTGAAGATCTTCACTGTTCAGGCTCAGTCATACCATGGGATTGAACAAGACTTGAAAAACCAGAGCTCACCACAGTACCATAGCATCTATCTGCTTGCAAGACATCACCTATCTTTTTTAGGTGGGATGAGAAATAGCTGAATCCGTTGTAATCCACTGAATGCGATCCGGAAAATGACTCTCATTGACACTTTGCTGCTAAGCCCCGAACACCATTCAAGGTAGCAGAGTTGATCGAGCTCCGCCTTGGCACTATCTTTTCATGTACTTTACCGTATGATTTTCCTGCTTTCGACACTTGTATGACTTGTAAACACACACACAAATGTTGTTTGCCTGAAAGTTTCTTGACTGTCAAAGCTCTAGCTGTCTCATGCCACCAAAAGGCCATCTGCTGCTGAATGCGCAGCATCAAACCACGTACCGCCAGTGCCTTCGCTGCTCACAGGCACTGCATTGGACGAAATGGAAGAAAGCCAAGAATCCAGATTGCTCTCATCACCGCCCATAGAGCTTCAAATGACACAACATAAAACACAAACACTTCTGCACAGAAGCAGAACCTTGAGATAAACAAAAGCGATTCCAAAGTTCGGCCATATGGCAGGCCCTGCATACTGTGGATGTCCCTGGATGATCGGTAGCGAAGGCAGCTTCCTGCAGGAAGAGTATTAGAATCTCCAGTTTGCAAAGCAAGTGATGCCTTTACATGGCTTTGACTTTGAGGCTCTATCCTGAACTGGTCAAATTCTTTCTTAATGTTGTGGTTGAGTTCGCTGAGGAAAATGTTATACAAGGTCTCACCCTTCTTCTCCACGAAGGCTTTGACGCCTCGGGGTGTCGCTACTCCCCCCGAGCAAAGCCGAGGCAACGTCGTGGCAAAGCCAAGCAAAACTAAGCAGTACGCGTTCTCTCTGTGCCAATTGGTAGAAGCTGTCGAGCACTTGGCATGCTGTCCTCACAGTTTCAGCACTATGACTATCACTATCAACACTTTGAACTATCACAACTTCGGCGCTTGGCATGTTATTCAATTGAACGCCTCATGCACCCTGGATTTGGCCCCGGTCCCACAATAACTACTGTATATGTATAATAGACCAAGAATCTGGACAGTTCCAACCCCTTCGAAGGCGCTGTTGATGACCTGAAAGTGTCTTTATAAAAGCACACTCATGCAGCTCCAGGTTCACTCTCCACTTCTTCCACAGTTGCATCTCAACCCTACAATGCCAAAATACGAGTGCTAGATCATCACTGATTCGCTATGCTGAACGCAGCCGAGTCTCATTCATGTACATCACCTGCCAAATGCATATGATGCATGAACGGCAAAACTCTTCCCACATAATCTTAGTGCTGTGATTTTTTTTTCGGTAGGTTGCGATACTGCCTTACGCAGTTTCTTTTCAAATAGGCACTCATGCATTGATGGCGTGGGTCTGACTCACAAGTAACATCACTCAACTGCAAACAATGTGGAAAATCATGAATTACCTTACTTCGAGTGATCCCACCATGACATGCGCATGTTGCCATGGTCGTGAGTTTTGTGTTTTTCGAGTTTGCTCGCGGGGGTTTGGGTTGCTATTCTAGTGTTAAAGAGTTCGCGTCGGGGTGTTGCCAGGGTCTCCAACTGGCATCCAAAAGTCCTAACCTGTGACCACCTGCCATGCAAAACGCCACACACACAGGTAATTATATTGCTGTAGTTGTGTGTTGGTTGTTGTGTTTGAGTGTTTTGGTTGTGTGTTGTGGTTTTGTGTTGTGGCTGTGTGTTGCGGTTGTGTGCTGTGGCCGTGTGCTGTGGCTGTGTGTTGCGGTTGTGTGCTGTGGCTGTGTGGTGTGGTTGTGTGTGTGTGTGTCACCCCCTGTATCTAAGGGTTCCACCTTTGTAACTAAGAGTTTTGAATGCAGGGGGGCCATCCCCCTCCCCAGTGGCGGATGGCCAACGAAGAGGCCACTGGGGGGGGCTGCAAACGTACCTGCCGAACTGTTGTACAAGCTGTCACTCCACTCTTTCTTTGTTTGTTTCCATGGTGGTTCATGCTACTTCCCCTAAGCCCTTTCCCTCGGTTTCAGCTGCCGTCCGCCGCTCGTCCGCTGCTGTCGCGAGTCTGCAGATGCGCGCAAACTATTTGTTGAAACACCTTCAATTGATCGGACTCCTCACCTTGCCGTTGAGCCATTCCTTTCCTCGGGGAATTGAGTTAACTGAATACAATTGTCAAAGTGTGTTTCGCTCAGCCGTCCCACTCGGGTGCTGAGTGTGACCCCCGTCATTGGGGCGCTGTCTCATCGTGCAAGCAGTAACTGACCTCACCACCTTTCACAGGAACTCCACTGGAAGTCACCTCCACATCCACCGAATTAACTGCCACCACGGCCGCCGGGCCTAAACACGGGAACAGACAGTTGTGCAACACTTGCTTTTTTGAGATGTTTGACGGCTAAGTATTCACATGTGCGTGTGCTGCTAAGTATTCACAGGCCGGACGAATTAATCGTGCACTTTTCTTTTTTCCCCTCCCTACCCCTGGGCCTCCGTTGCTACCCCACCCGCTACTCGGGAAACAGAAGGAAATCGCACTCAACACACTTGTGTGTTGGTGCCTTTCCTTCTGTTTCTCCTAGCCTATTGCTAGCTACCCGGGCGGTTTAAGACAAAGGTCCCGCTCGCGCTCTACTTTCATTTAACTAAGTGGGCCTCGTAACTACCCCTATCTTTCTTTCTTGCCCTCTTAGTCTGCTTTTGTTTTGTTTGCTTTGTCTGTCTTTCTAAGGCTTTTTAGGTGGCTATTAGTTTTTCGCAGCGCCAATATTGGCGCTTTCTGTGCAAAGTTCCACCTTCAACGTTCTAAACACTTGCGCCGGAATCGGCGGTTTGTGTGTGTCACCCCCTGTAACTAAGAGTTTTGAATGCAGGGGGCCATCCCCCTCCCCAGTGGCGGATGGCCAACGAAGAGGCCACTGGGGGGGGGCTGCAAACGTACCTGCCGAACTGTTGTACAAGCTGTCACTCCACTCTTTCTTTGTTTGTTTCCATGGTGGTTCATGCTACTTCCCCTAAACCCTTTTCCCTCGGTTTCAGCTGCCGTCCGCCGCTCGTCCGCTGCTGTCGCGAGTCTGCAGATGCGCACAAACTATTTGTTAAAACACCTTCAATTGATCGGACTCCTCACCTTGCCGTTGAGCCATTCCTTTCCTCGGGGAATTGAGTTAACTGAATACAATTGTCAAAGTGTGTGTCACACTCCGTCCCGAGGAGTTCTTTTCTGATAGTTACACCTGTTCGATGCAGGGGATCCTACCAGGAGAGCGTCAGGCTCGACACACCTACCTGACGCAACGAAGCTATGGTGTGTCGAGGGAAGTGAGAGCTGATCACTCTCATGTACCTGCGACCAACACATTGACTCCACTGGTTCCCCTCGGCCGCTGTTTTTTGTTTTCATGGTCCTTGCACGTTAGCCCCCAAAACCATGTTCTTCACCGTCGTGCAGCTGCGCCACTGCCGCTTTCAGCGATTTCTGAGCGATTGCAACACCTTTGTTAAACCTCTTCAACTTTTTCGGACTCACTCGCCTTTCTGTTCCCTCGTCCATTTCCGCGTGGAATTGAGTTGACTGAAAACCCATTGTCTAAGTGTGTTGTGGTTGTGTGTGTGTCAAACCCTGTTCCTAAGGGTTCTTTTCCCTCTGGTTATGTTTGAAGCAGGGGGTGCAAGCAGCCCATCCAGCCTTGCACCAACAAAGACACTGGATGTGTGCTGGTGATATCGATTTGGGACGCCAAATCGACGTACCTGCGACTTCTGCTGCCGCGCGTTCGTGAACTGCAGATGTGCACAAAACCATTGTTGAAACATCTTCAAATTCTTGGACCTTTCGCCTTGCCGTTCCTTCACCATTTTTCCTGGGACTTGAGCTAACTGAAAACCAATGTCAGAGTGTTGTGGTTGTGTGTTTGTGGTTGTGTGACTGTGATTGTGTGTTCGTTTGTGACAGTGTTTGCTGTGTGTTTGTGATTGTGCTTGTGGTTGTCTGTTTGTGCATTGTGGTTGTGTCATTGTGTTTTTTGTTGGTTGTGTGTTGTGCCATGTGTTTGTGGCTATGAAGTGTGGTTGTGTGTTGTGCGAGGTCCAGTAGAGCCCACTGAGATTTGGCACTCGCGGTTGATTTCTGGTAGTGCGCACTGCGATCTGGCACTTGCGGTTGAGGTCCGGTAGTGCCCACTGCGATCTGGCGCTTGCGGTTGAG